GAAAAAGAGATTTGCCAAAAATGTGTGGGATTCCTAGCCCAGGTTATGACAAAAATAAATATACTAGAAGTAACTGTGTAATTTTTATATTTATTACGTAGAATAACTACTTTTTAGGCTAGATTCTAAAGTTCAATATGGCTATTTCAAAGGGTCTCCTTATCTTTAAAGAGCAGTGATTTTAAGGATATCGAACTATTATAATTTTAATTGTGTAATTAAATGAAATCAGTATCTCAGTATAGTGTTGCATGCAATAGCTGATAAAATTAATTATAAAATTTCACTATGTTTATTATTAGAATTACACCAAATAATATAGAAAAATCATTAAAATGGTGTCACTGAACTCCTATTAATAATAACAAATATAATTCAAGTGTACTGAGCAATCAAAGTTTTGCATTGATAAAGCTACATTTTCGCTAACATGACCTCTTCTATTGGTCCTAGCATATTTAATACGTGCATAAATTTATTGTCCAAGTATAGAAGTGTCTTATAGACAGACTATCCACGAATGATTGTCCTTTACATGGATATTTATGGTCCTGTCGGGTCCGCATCAGTTCGTCCGTCCGTCCTTTTTCGGGCGGGGCGGGTCCGTCCGTCCGTCCGCTTTTGAGACCCTACCGCCAAAATTGTATGCCTACTCACGCGCGCACGCACGCGCGAAACATTGGACCGCGCCTACCAATTGGAGGTGTGACTAGGCGCTTGACAATAATGACTTGTGCTTGTTTGTCAGACTAATGAGACTAGCCTGTACTGTGCCTGGTGTAGCCGTGAAGCTGAGACCATGCTGGTGTAGCCTATGTAGGTCGAGGTCTACATGCATTTAGGTAAGTTTACCAAACAGTTATTGTTTTTGATTATTTAACAAGCACAGTGCCAGTTTGCCTCATCACTTACTAGATGTAATTAACTAAATTCTTTTTTAATTAAATTTTTTAATTTTGATGAATTTATCTGTAAATGCTATGCAGGAGAGCATTTTATTGTATATTTATGATTCTATATCAAAATACTTCAGCTATGAAGAATAACACATTATAAAATAGAACAATTTTGCAAAACGTACTATGATGCAATGATTTAAATTTTTAAGGGACATAGCTTGAAAAAATTTTAGTTGAAATCTGCTCAAACTTTCTACATACCTTAAGGACATCAATATTACAGCAGAAAATTTAATAAAAATTTGAGGGTGATTTTTGAGCCATTTTTCCGAAAAAGGATGGGCTATACTTTTAGATTTTGGCACATTTATAAAAATGACCATAGCTCAAAAAAATTAAGTCGAAATTGGCTCAAACTTTCTACATAGCATAAGGACGTCAATATGTATCAGGAATTGTAATAAAAAACGGGTAATTTTTGAGCCATTTTTCCGAAAAAAGCATGGGCTATAGTACACGGTATTTTTCAGATTTTGGAATATTTGTAAAAATGACCATAACTTAAAAAATTAAGTTTGGGATTGACTCAAACTTTTTACATAGCATAAGGACATCAATGTGTATCAGAAAATGTAATAAAAATTAGGGTGTAATTTTTGAGCCATTTTTTGGAAAAAGCATGGGCATTTTTCAAATTTTGGAAATTTGCCACAACTTGAAAAATTGAAGTTGGAATTGGCTCAAAGTTTCTACATAGCATAAGGACATTAATACATTTATGTATTAAAAATTGTGATAATGTTATGTAGGTCGTTCGCCAAACTTTGGAGCAATTAATTTTTGAAATTAATAAAGAAGTGTAGATAGTATAAGAACATGTAGTTATACACATCAGTTAAATGGAGAATTTTATTCTAGCTATTAAAAAAAAATACTCTGTACTACATGTATATCATTTAGCAAAAATTTAAAGCGTATTTAATAATTATTCATTAAAATTCCAATTGAATTAGAATTTGCTAATACAAATCCATTATTTTGTTTTGTGCTATAGTTTTACGACTGCTAAAGTGCCAATATGAAATCCACTAATTACAAAAGGCATGTGCAAGGCTTTATAAAAATATAGAATTTTGTCCTATACATATTCTTTGTTGCGTGTTATTTGAATTCCAATTAAAAATGAAATCCAATATTAATTTTGATTGGAATCTACTCAAACCTGATACATGTGTACATGTAAATGTATAGTTTAAGAACTTGTATTAAGTATTTTTAGCTATTTTTGCTGATGTTATACATACATGTACATATACATCTGTATGTAGTACGATAGTACCATAGCAGAGTTTCTTTAGGAAGTTTGGTACCCTAGTCTTGATTAGCTGCATGCCAATCTTGAAGTTGTGTGATATTATTTTGTCTCTCGGTCAAAATCCTAATATTTTATGTACAATAAAATTAATTAATTTTTAATTACAGACTGTGTAGTCTCTTCCATCAACTTCTATAAAGCTCTCCTTATTTGATGTTTTTTTGCCACTGAAAGTTTAAGGCCAATTTTGAGTGTAGCCAATTTCTGAAATCAACCAAGTATGGTTTAGTGTTCATGTAATGAGAGATTAGCCTTTGGTCCAGATTATATTAGTCATTGAAGGAGGAGGAAGAGAGAGGAGGAGAGAGCAAGAGAGGAAGTACATGTAGCCTGTATATGCATGTACACATGTACATGTATGTGTATTCACTGTGTGGTTAATTATGTCAACGAAAATGATATGAAAATGTCATTTCTGTGTCTCTGTCTCTCTATTGAATACCAGCCATTCTTCAAGGGATTATTTGGCATGTTTGATCTTCCCAGAAGGAGGTAGTTATGAGTGTTTGTATGTGCTTGGCAGTTGATGCTCTCATTATTTCATTCATTCTCAATGTAATGTTATTTATTTATTGGAAGACCCTTTTGTTTCACTTGTCATGGACTGTCTGTATGTGAAGCTTTATCAATGTCTGTCTTTGTTACATTCATGTGAAAAGAAAAACAGCCAGTGTACAAGTTTCTCACTAAGAGTAAACACAACTACTTATTTGACATTCTGTCTGACCAGGAGGGACACTACCATGACTTTAATTACATGTACATATGTGTCCATTATTATTGTTACCATCCATGCATGTATCTTAATGTATTGTATTTGATTTCTTGTTGATGTTATTATGTATTATGCTGGCATATGTATACGGTACTATGTAGTTTGTCATTGGTAAAGTTATCATAGACTGTTGGTTTGCCTGTCTGCATCTGGCAAGTCATTAAAACACACTGTTCAAAGATAGCAAATGTGTTACTTTTGTAACTGTTTGCCCATTACTGGCAAAAACATTAGCAGTAGGCAACAATTATTATGATAACAATTATTAGGATTATACACGGACACACACGCTCCCTCCGTATGTGTGAAGTTTTAATTATTTTCAACATGATAGGCTTTGTTGGGCACGGTTTGTGTGATTATGCTTGTGAAGGTCAACAACTTTTATTAATGATTGATTGATAATAGCTATGTGTACTTACTTGATGAAATGTCATTCGAGTGGATCTGTTTTATATTGGCAATGTTTTAGTCATGCGTCGTTGAGTATGTATACACAAGATTTTATTTTCTACCAATCTACCAATATCAGCTATTACATGTAGATTTTTGTTAATACATGTATGTACATGTACATACATGTATCCTCTGCCCATACATGTACATATAGTGACACATGCAATATACATGCACACATGTAGAGCTTTATTGGCGTTGATATATTTAGTTTATACATAGATGTACATGTACATGTACTTTATTGTCTTTATTGACTATTGTTTGTCATTAAGCTAGTATTACAGTATATGTACTCCACCTATTACGTTATTTCCACAGAATGCATCATAAGACCAAACTGGGTCTGGTCTTATGTTGTGTTCTCTGGAACTGACACAATTATAAAGCTATGTATTATAAATCCTGCAAATTAGTTTATATACATGTATTGTAAGTGTATGTCTATTTCGATAGACAAATTGATTGACATTTAGTTTATTTTTAGGTTTGAGTAGTCAGTTGCTTCATTATATGGCACCTCAATTGTTTGAAGACAGCAATAAATCATAAAAAGGTACGTTATGATTATTAATAATTTCACATTGTTTTCGGTAAAATGTTTGACTAGTTTCCTGATACATTGTGTGTGTTTGTGTGTTTTATCGATCGATTATACCAGTTGAAACAGAAGCTGTTGTTATCGCCATTGTAATTAAGGAACTTAATTGGCAATCCTAGTGTTTCTTTTTGCTATTGTACGTCTCTTCTAACATTGGTCAATGTGGCCTTTTATGTTGATATTTCCTTATCTCTGTTATGAAAGAATCATAATATCAAAAACAAATACCTTTATTAGATCACACGCCCACTTTTCATGTGTATGAGAGCATCTCTGCCTACACAAGCTTTCCTTCTTATGCTTCACACACCCTCTTTCTTTCTATTATAGTATCAGTGACCACAGTTTCCACTTTATAATAATATAATGGTATTGACATTACTGACTAAACACACAATGACATAACCAAAGCCTCACCCACACAATTACTTGTAAGTGTTTTGATGTTAATGATAATGATTCCGACATAACAATGACGCTTACTATTCAGTAATTGTATTTACTATTTTGAACACAGTGATACAGTGGTATAGTATTGTACTTACTATTGGTGATCGTGTGATCTACTGTAGCTATTGAAATACCTACAATACTATACTATTATATTTACAATACTGTTGTAAATATAATAGTATTGTCAATACAATATAGTGTAGTATCGTACTGTACTTACTATTGGTAATTGACTGATTATGTGATCTGAATTATTACTAATAGATTATTTATACACATACTCATTTTACCATTAATACTTCTTCTTATATTGTATAGGGTGATAATCGTTGGAGCTGTAGTGTTAGGGGCTGCTCTATAGTGGTGACTGGTCTTATTGGCTCTTTTCTCATTCTCACTATAAACTTCTTGATTCGTTTTCATCGTCTTCATTAATCCATTATTTAATCAATTCTACTATAGTCTGTGTATTTTGTGTAATAAAACAATTAAATCGACAGATGTAGAAACTAAGTTGGAGTTGTTTAACAGTACTGATGACACAGAGTTCTGCTGTTGCAGGTCATTGGTTATTAATTAATTAATTAATATTACTAGTTTCACTTGGCTCTGGCAGCATGTGTAGTGTGGTATTGTTTTTCTATGGGTAGGAAACATAAATACCACACACACACTTGATAACGAAACTATTAATAATGTATTATATACCAGTAGATCTACCGGTTGCTGTTTTCTATATAGCCTCCTGTTGGAGCTAGTTGAGCGTGCATTTGCAGCAGCTCCCAAGATCTGCAGTAGTCTAGTTTTCCGAGCCACATTCTCCGCGTTTTTACTCTTATTGTTTTAAATGATGTCTGCTGTTCGAATGGAGGATCCGGCTAGCTCCAGCAACACGACCAGGACTGCAGTAATAGGAACGTTCTCTTCTCAAGTCATTGCATTTGCTCTTTTTGGAAGAGTCTCAAGGCTTTCTTGTGCAGCAGGTGGGCCCAAGAAACTTATTAATTGCATTAGATCATGATTGTCATAAATATTATTGCAATCCATTTTATAGAGGAGAGTGCCCCCAGCTTCTCAGACAGCATCAATCAGGTCTCAAAGCAGTTCCCTGATATCCCTGATATTTTTCGCTTTGGGCCATCGACTGTGAAATTCCGCTCTGTCGGTGTATTCTGTCGACAGTTTTTGAACCAAGGTCAGAGATTAAACTATGCAGTATTAGCTACTAAATTTTGAAGCACAAAAACAACAGATCTATTTTGGATTTGCAAAAGCAATGCTGATTTTACATTAGTCTTTATCATTCCAATGCAGGAGCAGTGTTAGGTCCATTCACTGGAAGGAAGCTCTCAGTTGAGGAGGTCATTACACTCAAATTGAAATCTTATTGGGAGGTAAGTAGACTCTTGATGGAAGTATTGTGTTTGCTTAGGTAAACCATTGAAAAATAATAGGACCATTGTATCAACCCCCTATGTTATCAAATAATAAAGGAAACATTTGAGTTATGATATCATTGGACACCCAAGTTTATTTTATATAATTACTCAAATAATGTTGTGTTATTTATACAAAGAAATATTATTTGTTTGTCCCGATCAATTCACTCATTTAAAACAAAATTATGATTATTCATTATGAAATTATTTTTTGTAAATTCTAGATTCATCAAGATGGCAAGGTCCAGTACTGTGTTGACGGTTCCGATCCACACTATCGTAACTGGATGTACTTCATTCAATATGCACGTCATCAGGACGAGCAGAACCTAATGGCCATCCAACACGAAGAGAGAGTCTACTTCAGAGCAGTGAGGGACATACAGCTAGGAGAGGAGCTCCTGGTCTGGTATGACAAGTATCAGTATGACCTGTACATGGGGATACCTCAGGGATTCAAGGACTCGCTATCTGCAGAAGAAAACAGTGAGCTATTCTTTTTTACTACTATCTATTGCATACTTGCAACTCTTATATGTTGTGATACATGTATGTTTGCATGCAATTTGAACTATTATCAATGGCACTACTTTTTCTTGCAGGTCAAGATGATGAAATAGAAGACGATAGTGAAAACGAAGAAATTGAAGTAGAAGAGACAGACGATGAAGATGATGGATTAGAGCAGGAAGCAGGACGACAACAACACTCGCCATTCCAGCACACAAATTGTCAACAAAACACGTCATCACCGATTCCAATACACTCAACTCTACCAGGAATATCAGCAGTCACACCATTCACTATGTATCACCATACTCCCCATCCCACCCAGCCTCCTTCCATTCCAGGGATTCCCAACGTCCAATGGCTGAAGCCACACGGGATAGGAAATGCACCCCCTGTCCTCTCAATGCCACCAAACTGGCCTAATTTCCTCCCTCTCTCTCCCACAAATATCGGTAAACCCTCAAACCTCGACATGTTTGAGCGCTGGGCAGACGGTACGAGATGGAGGTGTCAGATCTGTCAGAGGATATTCACTTCCCAAGGGAGCCTCCGTGCCCACGCCCGGATACACACCGGAGAGAAGCCGTACCAGTGCCAGTTCTGTAAGCGAGTCTTCACGCAGGCTTCAACTCTACGCAGTCACGAGAGGCTCCACACCGGAGAGAAGCCGTACAAGTGTGATCACTGCGGGAAGGCATTCACTCAATCGGCTGGTCTCAGGTCTCACCTCAAGACTCACTCGATGCATTAATGATGCATAAACAAGGATATTGAGAACAATTGACTATATACTCTATACATTCACACACCACCATGTTTGTCTATCACTTATTTAACCAGTATACTTTAATTTTGTCTCTTGTGCTTTTCTTGCTTGTTTCACTTTTTCAATGTAAGAATACCAGTTTTGAGAAACACACTTCAACCAACAATGGGGCACCTTGCGTAATCATTTTGACGGAATAATGTGTCCTTTTAGAGCCGAGAGTGAGATAGTAATAGCTTCCTATACACAAATGCAAACAATAAATTAATATCCATTCAGTCAGTTTACTTCAGTTCTTATTGTTCTGCTTCCTTGATGGGTGCAGGTGTTTAGGTAAAAGTGAAACAAAGATCTAACATCATCCACCTCCAGAGTCCTGTCCTTCTCCAAGCTATACTCCAGCCCATGCTGACCACCAAAAACAATTAAAAGATGCCTAAGAGATAACACTACAATAACAAATGAGCTGAACCACCTGTTGACTTAGGGCCTAGACACCAATTAAGACCTAAAATCCTAAAGGTGGATATACTAGACGTAACAATGTTACGTTGATGCTGGAGTTGAATTTGGTTCAACTCAAGGATAAAGCATGCGTCAAAATGTCAAATTGCTCACAATTAAAAAAGAATCAAATTCAATCAATGCTACGCTGGGCTAGCCTAATATTGTAAATCAACCTTTAGTCTATAAACGTGCAGAGTATGTTAGGAAATATCAAAAGCTAAAAATTTTAACAAAAGTTGCTTTTAGAATTTTAACTAAAGGGGGCAAATCGATTTGTTTAGGATGTGAACACATAACTGAATTTTGCACCACTAATTCAATAAATCAAGTTTAAGGGGACAGGGTAATTGCTCAAATCCCAAGCTAGTATTAAATTTAACATAACCTTAGGCTGTAATGTCTGCATGGCATGAATGAGCCTTTACTTGTATTGAGGGAAAGGTAGGACACTATCAATAGGATCACCTCTCTCTGATGTACCAATGATAACATCATAGCTCTCCTACAAAATAAAAACACAATTATTTTGAAGGCAACTTATTATTATAATGAAAGTATACACTATAGACAAGTGGCTATTAGAACTAATAATAGCAACAATAATAATAATAACAATAATAATAATAATGATAACAATAGCATATAAAAGAAGGGAACAGGTGGTTTGATATAGAATAACAACGATACATTGAGCAACCAACTGAAACAACAAGTTACAACAAACACTGGTACATTACATAACAATAATCTACCATCACTACTATAACACATAAGGCTGTAATGGACTTAAATGTACATGTATAATAATCATCAACTATCAGTAGGTATGTACATGTACAATGTACATGGACTGTGTAAACAATGGTGGTTATAGAATTATTTATGGCAGTGCTTGACTTATGGGAAATGTAAATAGAGGCAGCAAAGGGCAATGGTATCATTATTACAGATCGACCTTTTGATGTATCACCTTCAAACACTTTCATATTGCATCATGTCACAAAAATGACCAAATAAAAATACAAAACAGAAAGACCACAAAAATAATTATAACATTTATCAGTACATGTACGTCTTATTTAATAAACAAAACTATATTGAAAAATAAATCTATATGATTCCTTGTCACTATAATCTTTCCATCTTTAATACAAATACGAACTACAGTAAAGTACATGTACATGTTACATGATTACACATACATATGTACACAATGTACATATACATGTATACATACTTATGCGTCCTATTCTGTATATGTGACCATATTTGACAAAAGGTACCTCATGGCAGATTTTAAAATTCATTTATGTAATGGAAAATATCAACCTGTGAGTGCTCTGTTGAACAACCATTGCTTCTAAAAGTTACAGAGTAACTTTTTGCATCCTGTGGAGTAATTTTATGATAAATGGATCTCAGGAAATTGGATTTTTTTGGCTATAAAGACAAATTTCACTACCCGCCATAAGGTACCTTTTGTCAATTATGGTCACATATTATTATAAATGTAAAGAACAGAAAGAGTCTGCATTTATTGATCATAAATATATGTACATGTAAGTTATGTCTAATGAATAATAATTACACTGACGTAAGTAAAGAATTATATACGTACTATTACGACGACACTCCTTTACAACGCATAACTAGCTAAATGTATGATGTAAAATAAAAAGTAAACATACACACACAAATCATTTTGTGTTCAGAGACGTACATTATCAAAACAAACTACTTATAATTATGATATTCTACCTACAATTTGTTGTGTATCTAGTCCCAGTGTACATGCTCAGTTAGTGTATACAAAAAGAGAGAAAAGGAACTAGGAATAAAAAGTAGAGAGACAGTTATCCAAACACTTTGATGAAAGATTGCTCAAAGTAAGAATTTGTCAATAATAACTCAAATAAAGAAGGAAAATCAACAAAAAGGCTTTTCCTCGTTTTTAGACTATCATAATTAAACACAAACAAACAAACAGTGACATACCATCTCACCATTCGACGCGAGACAAAAGCAGCTAAAAAAAACATCTCATTTTACATGCACACATACAAGTACATATACATGTATGTACATGTACATGTACATCTTACTTACATTTACATGTACATGTATAATAAAGATTACAGTGCAGCCCTTTTTGGAAAAAATTACATGTATGCAGCATTTTTACTAAAAAATATTTGGCAGGCTAAAGGTGATTTTTACATATCACACAACCCACTTACAGTATTGATAGGCTAGTAAATATTGGCAAGGATAGAGAAGCACTTGCTAACTTTATTTATTAGCAAAAGTGGATAATAGTATCCACAAACTGTACTCTTGTTTTAAAAACATTAATATGGATGGCTACTTGTTATAATATATGGACTCTTAATATAGAATAACTACAGTTTCCATCAGTATGTACATGTATTGCGCTGTGTGTGTACATGTACATGTACATGTATATAAGCTTCTGCACAATAGTGTACAATACATACATGTACATGTATCCATATGTTAAACTGGAGTATATGCATGTACATGTACATGCACATCTTAATTCATATAAAAACTTCAACACGTACGTGTACATATACAATGTACATGCAAAATATATGTACATAAAAGTGAATAATACCTGTAACTGTAAGCTACAACTGTACAAGTACAATAAAGATTAGTAAAAAATATTATTATAATTCTAAGTCTAAAGGATACAGTGATGATCAATAAAATGCCAGCAAAAGCAAAGCATAAATTCCTGTACAGTACCTTGTATGAGCTGCTAGTGAAGACTTCACCAAAACTCCGAGCATACCTAACCTGGTATCCCCAATAGATACCTTTAGATGTCAATGGAATCGAAGGAGCCACTATTTTTCCTCTAAGATTATTTCCTATGATGACAATAATAATTAACTCTTGAGATTAGATAATGGACCTCAACTGAGGTTTCATTTACAGTTTACTAGTACACTGTTGTTTTAAGTAATGCTACACACAATATCTACAATGGACTTAGAACAATCACTGGGCTTTCCTTTTTCAATATCCCATTACAGTAGAGATAGAAACAGCCTGATAATAGGACACTTTTGGAATATAAAGTAAAGGCATTATCACAATTATTTCAAACCACTGATTACTAAACTGAGCTTTATCATTACACAGCAGAATAACTTGTTGATACATGTACTTTAATAGTAAAATGGGAGAGATTAAATTTAGTGACATTTAGTTTAGGAGAGGACACTATACCCAACTCTTGTCAATAGTCAGACCTCAGAGTGCTAGCCACAGTCGGTTACTAAAAGTGGATTCTCAATATGACGCATGTGCGTCCGTCACAACCGGAAGTGCTGTATAAACCAATGGGAGCATGCACCAATGCGTCAGATTAGAAAACATTTCTATTCTGATGCATTGATGCATTTTCCCACTGGTTTATACAGCACTTCCGGTCATGACGCTAGCGCATGAAAAGCAACATGTCACATTAAGAACCCACCTTAACTCCTAGTCTGCCTACTGCCTAGACTTCTTTCCTTGCATCTCACCCTCAATCCTTCTGTTCACGACTCAGAACACCAATTATCATTCCATGCAACAATAGTACATGTGTGTGCGTGTGCTTAAAGAAGTTCATAGATGTGTATGCAAGCTCTAGGTTTGATTATTAATTGTGGGCATGGTTTGTGGTGGGACTTACGTCTACTCATAACGTAATTCAGGGCTGTTATGGCAGACAGATGGCATTATCATGGCAGGCTGTCTGGCCTTAAGAACCAGAACTGGGGGTTAAAATACCGTATAGCGGGAAATTTTGGAGGGACTAAAATTTGGCAAATTGCTAAATTTTGGTGATTGGCGGATTTTAATTTGGCGAATTGGTGGCCACGTGCCATTGAGCATGCGTATAATGGCTCAAAATGGCGGGTTTAATTTTGGCGAATGGCTATCAAAATGCCAAATTCGCCAAATTTAATTCCCTCCAAAATTTCCCGCTATATGGTACTTTAATGGATCCAATTAACTCTCTCCTCTCAGCCTACCTACCTTGTCTACGCTAGTTTTTAAAGGTATGTGTGCTGATTTTTAAGGGGAATCTTGTATAAGGCTTAGAATCTGATGTGATGTCTGTTGACAGGTGATGTGTATTACATGTAGTACTTTTGTCTAATGTACAAAAGGTGTACGGATAACTAGAGTCAGTGTGTATATCAATATACATGCATCTACATGTACATGCATGACAGGTGTGTGTGAGGCTAGGGTGTGTGAGAGTTTAGGGTATGTGTGAGGGTTTGGGGTGTATCTGAGGTACATGTACATGTACAACACATGTTAGACTTACCAACAATGTACGTGTACATGTCTCTATTAAACATGTAATTGAAACCCTCTAAGACTGTCTGCTCAGACCATGTGGTTAACATAACAATTACCATTGATTAAGGTAGGGTCTGGTTCAACAACACTTAATTAATAATTATTATTTACAATTCCTATTAATAAGGCTTGGGTATATGTACATGTATTTTGAGAAAAGTATTGAAGATGCATTATACTCAAAGCACAGAGAGAGAGAGAGAGAGAGAGAGAGAGGGGAGAGAGAGAGGGGGGGAGAGAGAGAGAGAGAGAGTGAGAGAGAGGGACAAAAGTGATAGCATATAAGCTACATGTACATGTATGACCACACGTACATGTATACCGACTTCAACTGTACATGTACATGTACATATTACATAAAAGACACTATACATTGTTTAAACAGGATGCCTAATCTCACCTGATTCTGAGCGCTTCTTCATTTTCACAGTTACTCTGACTCCAGTTTCCAACTTCTTGTTCACAGTGACATTCTATGTGAAATAAAAGAATCATTTGAAAATCACTTCCATTTCTACATGTACATGTACATGTACATGAACATGTACATGCATGTACATGGCATATTTATATGTCAAATTCTTTCTATCACTCTTCTCTCACTTAAGTACATGTACATGTACAAGTATGTATACTAAGCTTGTATACGTAGCAAATTTTGTGATGCACATTAAAATAAGATGTAAAGGACACAATTTTTTGCAAAAATAGTTTTTGAAACATGAAATTCATGAAAACGAAAAATCATACAAAATAACCATCTACAAATGGTACCAAGAGTTACATGTATACCCTTCATTGTACCCACCTCTTTCTTCCTAAATTAGATCACAAGGAATCTTTCTAAACAATCTCACATTATCTTTCCCTTTCACTTTTCTTCATTTTACTTATCTCTCCCACTGAATCATTTCCTCTCTCCCTCCCACTCATTCCATACCATCTCTCTCTCTGTCACCCTCTCTCCCTCCCCTTCACCCTCTCTCCCTCCCTCTCACCCCCCCTCTCTCTCTCTCTCCCTCTCTCTCCCTCCCTCTCTCCCTCCCTCCCCCCTCTTTCTCTCTCCCTCTCTCTCCCCCCTCTACTTTCTATGTCTTCTTTCTCTCAAAAACACAAAACATTGTATTGACATTGAATTATGGGATTTGGCTCTACTAATGACCTCGCCCACGCCGTGTAGGCGAGGTATCAGGTACTCCTAGTCCCTGTCATTCATTCATTCGTTCAGTTTGTTTATAATCTGCCTTTAAAAGTAAATAACTTTAGCATCACAAAAAGTTAATCTTTAGTATGTGATGCTTCAAGAGGAATACCATGCAAAGTAAGAAAAATGCTATCTCCCTAGCTAATTCATCATGCTGGCACTCCGGATACAAGTTAAGTACATCTTTCATTTAATGTGTAGCATTCTTTAACTCTTACATGCATTTGTTAATACGTACATGTACATGTAATTCATGAGTCACTTAGCTTAGCTTTCCCTTGCTACAATGTACATTAGTTAAAACTAGTGCATTCAACTAAAAGTGACTTTATTCTGCTTACATTATTTAGTCCACAGTCTACCATTGAGGATCCATCGTCAGTTGAACTCAATACAATACCTTCCCTGAAAGGAGAGTCCTCGTGAGCTCTCATGTGATGAGGAGCATCCAGTGGATTCAATACACCTATCAATTAGGCACTAGGTAATAGCTGCATGGGTTTAACAAACAAAGCATGTTAAGTGAGCTAAAAAGCATGCTTTATATGAGCTGAAAAGCCTTATATGTACATGTACATGTAGTACAATTATATGGGGCAACTTTAAAAAATTCATAAAAAATCCAATTTTGATCAGAATCAGCTCAAACTTTCTACACAATACAAGGATATGTATATGTACGAGGAAAAAATTATAAAAATGGTAAATTCTCTCCTTTTCAAATTTGGTGAAATTTGGCTCGAGGCTGTGTACTATAGTACAGGGACTTTTACCTGATTTTAGAGCAAATTCAAAAATTCATAAAAAATTTAAATATGATTGGAATTAGCCTAAACTTTCTACACAACAAAAGTACATGTAGATGCATCAGAAAAAAATTATAAAAATGGTAAATTCACTCCTTTTCAATTTTGGTGAAATTTGGTACTATAATACATGGTATAAAAAGGATGGCAAATCAGTACATTTTAAAGAAGGGCATGCACTAGCTAAATTTTTGTACCACTAATTAGAAACATGTATATGTACATTGTAAGCACTTAACCTCTAAAGAGAACCTTGCCATAGCACAAAAGTAACCACACATTACTTGCTCTAATGTTATGCACCAAGTTTTAGCTGATTCCAATCAAATACTTTAGAAGCTTTAAACTTTGGCCAAAAAATAACAATGATAGGATTCAAAGTAACTGTTAGCAGACAGTTGTAATGTAATTGACTATCAATACAGTATTAATAATACCTGCATACTTTAGATCAGGATGCATACCGTAGAGTGCCTTCCTTAAATACCTAACATAATAATAAGACTAATATTAATACATGTCCATACAAACATGTACACGTACGTGTAATTGTACATTGCATAGTTCTTAATGCATACATGTACATGTACATGTATTACAAGATGCTATCACTTAATTGTGCTAAAAAGGCGATATGAGCAAAAGTACATGTACATGTACATGTAAGCTTTAATATAATTCACTTAATCTACTGATACATTAGTAACACTATCTATTGTATAAATATTTAAAAATACGGTAACCAATACATGTACATGTACATTATACATGTACATGTACATTATACATGTACATGTATATCTCACTCTTACTGTGGCGTTTCCATGTATTGTAATATTCTACACATAAAGACATCAGGATCAGTCTCTGAGCCCTTCCTACTGTATGAGACAATGATAATGAATTAATGATTTTACTGTTAGGGAGGATTCTTACGTATCAGTTCCTTCCTCTTTAAAAATAACTATTTCATTGACACAAAAAATGGCCGCAATCCTTGCAATCTGAAAAAATAGCAAAAATCCAGTTAGGGTATACATACATGTAGGAAAGTGTATCAAAAAAACATACACAATGTACATTAATGGAGTGCATGATGGTAAGAGTATGTGAAGGAAAGGGGAGGATCTAATAAACTTACACATACTGTAAATGTAGATGTACATGTAGATGTACATGTAGCTAGAAATGTGAGTACATGAACATGTACATGTACATGTACGCCTATATGTACATGTCATTAGGTAACGTTAGCAGATAAAGCTGGTAGCTGTTCTTGGGCTGTTGTACATTAGCTGAAAGATTATCAATACTTCAAAGAAATATTCGCATTGCTGGGTAGCCTGGGTACCACAAATTACAAAATTGCTTATTGCTTTATTGATAGCAATAAATGTAGGTGTACTGTTTCATTACAAATACAATGAGGTGATATACATGTACATGTACTTAGAGTACATGTAACTAGACTAAACCCTTTATTACACTAACCTGTCCAGCAAGGTACGTCTTTAATTGAAAGCTTTGTACATTATTAAGAATAGAACCAGGGAGTGCAATGCTCACCGTATAGGACTGACCTACATGCATAGAGAGACAAAAAATTAAACCAATATTCATTATAATACTCAATTAATATTTTTATATTTATACTTATTAACACATTGCACATTAATAATGTGTAGACAAGGTAATAAAACTACATGTACATCTGTTGTGTTTTGTTTAATAATAATAATAAAATATAGTAGCAATAATAATATTGATAATAAAATTGTACTGTTTTGTACTGTATTGTTTATTTATTGTTTCTGTTAGGCTTTTCTTATCATTTAGTATTGTAATAATAATAGTAATAGACTAATACTAATAATGTTGATAATAAATCATCGCATGGATCAACACTGAAAGTTATAACTTTTTACTGGATGAGCAGGTTCGATAATAATAATAATAACAATAATTATTACCAATATAAAAAATAAAAAATATCGAGTGAATGAACCATGCAGATGCTTTCCAAACAATGCTATTATACAAGCAGATGTAACAGCTTCACCAAAATAAAAAAGTAAAAGTGAATAATAGCTTATTAGGTATAATCGGTGATAGTTATAATGTACATGTGCCTATAACAATAGTAATCATAGTAATCATGCTTTTAATCACATACAATACGGTACTGAGGGCATAACAAAAGATAGGAAGTCAGCAATTCTATCTATCGTAGTTACTACAATGTGTCGTATGAATAATAACTAACCTCACTATTAAAAACAACAGATAAACTGAGAGAATAATAATAATAAAGGAACAGTGTATTATAATACATTACCTAATAAAAGTCCATTGCAAAGATAAGTTCATCTAAAATTAATTGTTAATAAATTAATTACATGTACATGTACACTGTATGTAGTAAAAATTATGTATCATAAAACTGCATGTTATCAAAAAGAGTGTTTGTCATAAAGACTCATAATGAGTGAATCCTGTTACATGTACATACATGTATATCACTACTCTCCACAGCTTCAAGCTAAGTTTAAACAACAGTAATTGTATCTAAAAATTTCTTTCAAAAAAACTATAATACTTTTATTCAAAATTAATAAACAATGAACTACAATACACAAAACTAAAAGACATAACTCATGAAAGATACTACATATCTACGCAAATAATAGCAACAATGTTCTCATCAAGGCTCTTTAAGCATCAGAAGCTTCTTAACAATCACAAGTATATCATGAACCACCACAGCAGTCGAATTACTGGAATTGCTCAGATTAGAGAGAGTGTCGGTAATGGCTTTAAGCTCCAGCAACGACTCGTTTGTTGCTTGCAAGAGCTCGTCATACCCTTCAAAGGAGCTCTGATTATTGACTGAAAGATGTTGAATAACAACCTGAGCTATAGCATCAACCAAATCATTAGTAGGTGTAAAATCAGCATAGCCGCTAGAGACACTTACTGCTGCCAAAACACAAAGCACAGATACTACAAGGAGTAGCATTATAGTAGACAAAGAAGTGACAACAATGAATGGTAAGCTCCAGACTGACTGGCTCTTCTTAGGCTCAGGTGGAGGAGTGAGAGTGGCTCCATTATCATTGATAGTGTGGTATGGGTTGGAGGGAAACTGATTATTCGTCAGTGAAGTATAGTTAGCTCCATCATCAGAGGAGACCGGAGGAAGAGGACGAACGCAAGAAGAGGTTTTGTCTCCCATTCTTACTCAAAACAAAAATGAAGCTAAAGTACAAAGGAGTAGCTATATATATAGCTACTGGGAATAATAACTAAACGTAAGTTATAAACCAAGACTTGTTTACAAGTACTAATGTGAAAAGAAGACTGCATCAATTATGGGTATTCCTTCAGAAATAGTTTGTGCCTACAGTAAACAACAAGCAAGCAGCGTAGATTACATGTACATGTACATTGTGTGGGTGGGTGGTCAAACACGTCTTTCTATATATCAAGAATCAAATTTCATCAACAAACAATGAAAGTAGCAATAGTTTTAGCAGTACCATAATACCATTGAGCTTCACCAGTCCCATTGACCAGTAGTCCAGTACATACATGTACATGTACTAGCATACGTAAATAAAACAAAGATAGGAATTAATAACATAATAATGACTTTATAACTACTCCTTGCCCACATTAAAGCTCTTTGAGTCTGAGACTAATAAACATACATGTACGTGTAAATGTCTTTACTGTATAGCCGCTTAATTTGAAGGGCACAATTTTCATTGTTTTCGCAGATTTTCCGTATCCACGAAACTTAATCCTGTAAAATTATCCATCTCAATCTATAATCATGTCTACACATGTACTTCAATGAAATGGCTCTCTTTGGTGCTTTGTGGCTTCATAAAATGTGAACCACCAAAATTAATTCGCGAAAAAAGACTTGTCGCCTGATTTGCGAGAGTTTGTTGCCTCAAAACTTTGTGGCGGCTATACAGTATAACAACAATACAATACACATTATAGACCTCCTCAGGTGAGATTGACGGTGGCCTATGAATATCATTACTGTTTATTACAGTATCCACCTACGGGGATGATTGGCTGCCATTTTGGACGGCAAGATTCAATGGAGGATGAATGAAGAAAAATCAAAACTAATTTTTTTCGTTGGCATGGAGCTTTTTCAAGCTACAAAAGCTGGTTGGAGGAAAGAATGGTCGCTGCTAAGCATCTCCTAAAAGGGATTTGGTGCAATATAAATCATATTCTTTATTACAGCTTGCTTTCTGCATTAGCCCATTCATACTCCATAGAAAGTTGCCGTCCACGAAAATTATTTCAAAGTCAGACAGGCCCAGTCACGCCCCTTGCCGTATATCATTCTTTGACGTAATTCATTCTCACCCAAAGAGGTCTATAATGTAAGAAGTCAGGAACTAATGGGCTCCTGATGAAGTAGTAAATGTAAGATGCACTGTAGTACATGTGTAGTAAATAAAAGGTAGAGTGTACTTCGTAACTAAATGCATACATTTGTCATTAAAGTTTTTCTTTACCATAAGTCATTAATTAAATTTTTGATACTGGTAGCCTTAAAAATATTTGAGCATAGCATAACAGTCAATATGCGTTTGAGTTAGGAGATGACGCATATATGGTCCAAATACTTACAAATCAACTAAGCTTACATAATAATCAGTAATTTCGACACGGTATAATAATAAAGTTGTGTTATGCAAAATGCACACACACACACACAAAACTGTCATGGTTTACACTTTAGGCTGTATCAAACTTTTAATGAATACTTTCATAACTAATTACAGAAATAACAATAATTATGTATAAATTATTTCAAAATTGTCACTATAAGAAAGAGTAGAAATTTCTACAAAACATAATTGTGTTGCATTTATCAGAAATATGAATAATGAAAATTAATTGACATAACTATATGCCCCACCCTCACAACTATGCACTTAACAACTTCTAACTTGTGTAGCCCACTTAACACAATAATCTTTAAAATAATTAAAATAGTGTCAGACAATCTAACCTGACCTCCTTCCTTATGATCTGTCTCTGATTCCATAACTTAAAAATGAGCATAGACAATTTCCTATATTAATCTAAGCATCCTTTTATAGCTAATCCCCTTGCAGTTTAGATTCTAGTCATTCTACACAGTCACACATGTCTCGAGCTAAACCAAACCCACTTAACCCATCCCATCAAAATGGCTGAAAGTTAAGTAGGACTACTTTCTATTTACAGCTCTTTGAATCATATTAAGTTTAAGAAGGAGCATAATCATACAATTAAGCAATGGGTTGCATGCCTGGATATCCAACTAGCCAAAGAGAGATTAACAGCCTGCAGGCTGCAGCTTGCACTGAGCCCATGGCCATGTGAAAACACGTGTTTACACAAACTGCGCATGCGCAAGTGAATGTGATAATAAACCACACCTTAGTTCAACTGCTAAATTGTTATGATTTTATGGATGAACATAAACCTCGAAATAAAGTTCTATTGTTAATACGACTTGGTATAATAGAGAGCCCCATATAGCCTATTGGTCTGCAGGATTTAAGAAAACATGGTGCAGAGATTAACCTACATAGATCTACCAGCTCGTTACACCCTGGCCATTATGAGCTTCCTAGGATTCGTCATGATATATGCACTGAGAGTCAATCTCTCCATGGCTATTGTGATAATGGTCAATAATTCAGCTAATGGAAGTACTAATAACGTAAGTAGATACAATCTCAAAATATTGACCATGCAATGTTCTTTTAATTGTGTAGCAATTTAACTGGACTTCAACAGAGCAAGGTAAAGTACACTGTGGTCATGCTGAATTACCATTGCTGGGTGATATATTAAAATTGACAATAATGAATATGTAATCAATATTATGCGGTATTGATATCCAAGAAAACATGACTACGCCCATTAATGGTTACGTAATCTTAGTTAACTACATGTATATAGCAGCCAGTAATATCTTGAAAATTACTAAGCTATTCTTTTTGGGAAGTCAAGAAGGTTTATAATATTGCTTTTTAATGACAATTGCTCTCAGAAATAGCTTCATTTAGCCATTTTAGTAATATTACAGTAACAGTTAATGGTTTGTAATAACTTATCATTAATAGATATCAATATCTAGCATTTTGCTTAATTATTAATGATTATCATATTGTTTAAAATTTCCATTATTGTCCAGCCCTATGAATTACAAATAAGTCCACATTATTTTCTATATAGGATGGATTCTCTCGGCATTCTTTTACGGTTACACTATCACTCAGATTCCAGGAGGCTTGCTTGCTGCTAGATATGGAGGAAAGACTGTGCTTGGGCTTGGTGTAGTCATAACAGCAACTCTCACATTATTAACACCTTTAGCTGCTAGAATAAACTTTGGTGCACTCATTGGACTAAGAATACTAGAAGGATTATTTGAGGTGACATGTTGAATCTCTTTTGAATTATTCTGTTTACTTTTATAGGGTGTAACATTTCCAACAATGCATGCAATGTGGGGTAAATGGGCTCCTCCTGCTGAAAGAAGTACACTGGCTACCATAACATATGCAGGTATTGGATCAGCAATGGTTCTCCTCATTTACTGTACTTTTACTGTAATAGCTTAGGAAAGTTACAGTTTTCTAATTAAAGTAATTTTGACCATGTGTGTACATGGCCATGCAAACAATAGAATGTAAAATTTCACATTTTAGCTTTGGTAAGCGGAACTCAATTTACCAAAAAATTTTGTCCAACCACATTTTCTAGCTATATTGTATTTATGATTATATAGGTTTCACTAGTTTTTACTGTTTTATTTAGGTCCCATTGTTGGTATGGTGGTGTCATTCCCACTCTCAGCCCTTCTCTGTGTGTATGGGTTTGCTGGAGGTTGGCCTTCTGTATTCTATACTTCTGGTAAGGTATTCAGGTTAAAACCAGATTAATCTAGTACCATTTAGCGAGTAATTTTGGAGGGCAAGATTTCGGTGAATTTTGAGTTTTGATAGTCATTCACCAAAATGAATTTAAAACTCGGCTTTTAAAATCTTTTATTCAAATGCTCAATAGCACATGGCCACAAATTTGCCAAATTAAAATGCACAGAATTTAGCCAAATTTGCCAAAATTTTATCCCTCTAAATTACCAACTATTTATACAGTATGTGTATTGCTTGTTTTAGGTATTTTGGGAATTATTTGGTACATATTTTGGTTGATACTAATTTTTGATTCTCCTGCTAATCATCCTCGCATTTCAAAGGCTGAGAGAGACTATATAGAGTCTGGTATTCCTGATGCTGATAAAATGGTACCACCAGTACCTCTTATACTCACTTATTTCTATTACATACATTAGGTTCCCATTCCTTGGTTTCAGATATTCACTTCACGAGCAGTCTGGGCTATCATAGTATGCTTTGTCTGTTATGGCTGGGGAGGATACATTATGTTAACGTGTATACCATCATACTTACATGATACTCTCGGACTATCCTTTGGAAATGTAAAAGCAATCTTAAAAATGAGAACATGCACTATCTAATAGTAATTTAAATCATTTATTTTTAGAATCTTATTGAAAATGGTATATTCTCTTCAATACCTTACATTGGATATGCAGTAGTAACAATAGTTAGTGGACAAGTAGCAGATCTGTTAAGAAAGCGCGGCATATCAACAAAAAATGTTAGAAAAGGAATGACAGTCTCAGGTATGTCAATATTTTTGATATATTCGAATTCTGACAGCCATAATAATTATTTCTGTGTCAATGTATACAAAAATTCCAAGATTTCACAATCAGTTGGCAAACTCACAAGTGACAAGATTGCCAACCATGCATGTTGTAGCATTATACTATAATTACACTATTCATGCTAAAAATTACAATATTTACTATTATAGCATTAGTTCTTGAAGCTGCTGGGCTACTAGTTTGTGGATATTTTTCTAAAAGTAAATTTGATTCTGTCTTGTATCTTTCCTTAACGGTTGGAGCGGGTGCTCTCATTCAAGCAGGATTTATGATTAATCATATTGACTTAGCTCCAAGATTTGCTGGTGTGTTGATGGGTATTACTAATACTTTTGGAACTATACCAGGCATTGTAGCTCCAGTGGTTGCCAAGTATATGGCACAGGAGGTTAGATTTTAATCTGTTTGAAACTATTTACTATATTTTTACCTTACGAGTTATTAATCTTTTTACATGCACCACTAGTAACAAATGCATGTTTCATATCATAGTAACATAATAATTTTATTTTTGTAGCCACCAAGTGGTTCTGATGTGAAGCACATATATCAAGAGGAATGGAGAAAAGTATTCCTAATATCAGTTCAAGTTTACATTTTTGGTGCAGCAGTTTATCTGATACTAGCTGATGGTAAAAAGCAGTGGTGGGCTGACGGAGTTAAAAAAGAAAGAAAAGATTCTTCAATTCAATAAATACTGTCCTTATTTTTTTATTTTTGTATACTTCAGTATTATTATTTTTACTACAGTATAAAATATTTTTTACTGGTGTTATCAAAAGTACAAAATAATAAGCTACAAAGATACATAATGAAGTAAAAAAATTATTGTTTTTTGTAGTATGCAGACTGCTCCACCATTTTTAACACATCCCCACTTTAAGCAAACTTCTTTTGGACTCTAGCTCATCCAAGGTCCAGCAGTCTAAGAGCACAGCGGACTGAACCAAACCCATTAGATCTAAACCCAGCCGTTGAAAATTAACTAGGAAAGACTATTTCGGGTTTTGAATCATACTAAGTTTTAAAAATTAAGGTGCATGATTAGAGCCAAGTAGAGACTGAGCTGCACTAGGGGTGTCCCGATTATTCCGGAATAATTTTGGGAATAATAGGTAGCACTTTAATTCCAGAATAATGCTGGCCTAATAGGTGGATCAATAGCCAAACTCTAATTAAAGAGCAGCAAGTGCACCATTTTTTGAAATTTTTAATGCCTGTGCTAGTTGTAACTCTATTTTTGAAGAAAGTTCAGGTTCTGAAATTGATATAGAGACTTATATTTTACAGTATCTGCTCAATCTGCTCATAGTGGTACTTTAAATCGCTTCTTAGACTTACTAATTTTCATTTTCAATGTAGTTAGCTCATGATTATAAAGAATAATGTAAAAATAATAGGGGAGAATAAAAAGAATAATAGGCAAATTTTTGAGAATTTCTGAATAGAATTATAGGTCAAAAAATTCTGGACACCTCTAAGCTGCACTGCCAATGGCCATGTGAAAGCACGTGCTTGCACAAAATGCGCATGCGCGTGACAACAAGAAACCACATCAAAGCTTATGCAATTACTAACTAGCCTGAGTGAGGCTCCGCCTGGCTCAACCCAGATATGGCTTCGACCTTCTCTATGGATGAAAGAGAAGCTCTGTTGCATAATAGATGTAATTCTCCTGACAGTGGAGAGCCCCAGGCAGCCCGATGGTCTGTAGGATTTAAGAAAGCATGGCGCAGAGATTACTGTCCCTGGATACCAGCTCGTTACACCCTGGCCATTATGAGCTTCCTAGGATTCGTCATAATATATGCACTGAGAGTCAATCTCTCCATGGCTATTGTAATAATGGTCAATAATTCAGCTAATGGAAGTGCTAATAATGTAAGCAGATAAAATCTCAAAAGTATTGACCATGCAATCTACTTTTATAATTGTGTAGCAATTTAACTGGACTTCAACAGAGCAAGGTATAAACCACTGATATGTGGTCAGACTAGACTACTATTGTAATGGTCAGACTGAATTACAAATAATACCACATTTTTATATAGGATGGATTCTCTCTGCATTTTTTTATGGTTACGTTATCACTCAGATTCCGGGAGGCTTGCTTGCTGCTAGATATGGAGGAAAGACTGTACTCGGACTTGGCATTGTTATAACAGCGGCTCTCACCCTATTAACTCCCTTAGCTGCTAAATTAAACTTGGGTGTACTCATTGGATTAAGAGTATTAGAAGGATTATTTGAGGTAGAAATGTTTAACTGCCTTTTAAATTATTCTGTTTACTTTTATAGGGTGTAACATTCCCAACAATGCATGCAATGTGGGGTAAATGGGCTCCTCCTGCTGAAAGAAGTACACTGGCTACCATAACATATGCAGGTATTGGATCAGCCGGCAATGATTTTCCTCAATTACTGTACCATATATGTTCAAATAAAAGCCTGGATGTTTATTTTTTGCTAGACAAAAAAGGTGCATAAAATTTAAAATGCCAACTGAAACCAGGATTTTGAACTCACAACCTTGGGGACTCAAAAACTTGAAGAATATTAGTAGCAGAATTTTTATTTTTATTTAAGCTAGGCTTTTATTTGAACATAAACAGAATAACTATGGAAGTTACAAACATTTTTGAAGAGACTTTTTCTAATTAAATTAATTTTGACCATGCAAGTGTGTGCATGACCATGCATATACCGTATACCATGAAATTTATGCTACAAAAATTTTTTGCAAATTTTGTGATTTTTGCTTCGTCGCAAAAGCTAAAATTGTGCAGCTCCATTGCTGCATGGTGCAGTTTGCAAGCTGTTCGCAAAAATTTTATTTTGTGAAATCTTAGAAATGCAGGATTTGCGAAAAAAATTTGTTGCATAAATTTCATGGTATACAGTACAAACCATAGAACATAAAATTTCAGATTAAATTAATTAAGTTTTGGTAAATGGAGCTCTCTTAACAATTTTATTTTATTCAACCACTCTTTCTAGCTATACTGTATTGGTTTCACTGATTACATGTATTCATTTAGGCCCCATTGTTGGTAATGTGGTGTCATTCCCACTCTCAGCTGTTCTCTGTGTGTATGGGTTTGATGGAGGCTGGCCTTCTGTATTCTATACATTTGGTAAGGCATTCAATACAACCAGATTAATCTAGTACAATTTATAATAGCTAGTAACTTTGGAGAGCAAGATTTTGGTGAATTTTGAGTTTCCCAAAATAAATTTAAAACCCACCTTTTTAAACCTTTTATGCTCTTGCTTGGGCACAAATTCATCAAATTAAAATAAACAAATTTGGCAATTGACCAAAATTTTACCCTTCCAATGATTTAAATTACCAGCTACATGTATACAGTACATGCATTCATGTATTGTGTTTTAGGTATTTTGGGAATTATTTGGTACATATTTTGGTTGATACTAATTTTTGATTCTCCTGCTAATCATCCTCGCATTTCAAAGGCTGAGAGAGACTATATAGAGTCTGGTATTCCTGATGCTGATAAAATGGTACCACCAGTACCTCTTATACTCACTTATTTCTATTACATACATTAGGTTCCCATTCCTTGGTTTCAGATATTCACTTCACGAGCAGTCTGGGCTATCATAGTATGCTTTATCAGTTATGGCTGGGGAGGATACATTATGTTAACATGTATACCATCATACTTACATGATACTCTTGGACTATCATTAGGAAATGTAAAAGCAATCTTAAAAGGATGGCAAGCTTTATTAGTAATCATTTATTTTTAGAATCTTATTGAAAATGGCATATTCTCTGCAATACCTTACATNGGATATGCAATAGTTACAATAGTTGGTGGACGAGTAGCAGACCTGTTAAGAAAGTGCATATCAACAAAAAATGTTAGAAAAGCAATGACAATCTCAGGTATCCAAATAAGTTTAATTTTGACTGCCTTTGAATCTTTGTTAATACCTGCATGACCAGTATGGTTTTCAAAATTAAAAGTTGACAAACTCACAACCTGGTAACAATAAGATTGCCAACCATGTTGTAGCACTATACTACACTTTATACTATTTATGCTACAAATCACAATATTTACTATTATAGCATTAGTTCTTGGTGCTGCTGGGCTACTAGTTTGTGGATATTTTTCTAAAAGTAAATTTGATTCTGTCTTGTATCTTTCCTTAACGGTTGGAGTGAGTGCTCTCATTCAAGCAGGATTTATGATTAATCATATTGACTTGGCTCCAAGATTTGCTGGTGTGTTGATGGGTATTACTAATACTTTTGGAACTCTACCAGGTATTGTATCCCCAGTGGTTGCCAAATATATTGCACAGAAGGTTAGCTTTTATTGTTTCAAAGTGTTTACGTACCTTTTTGTTGACACTTAAAACAACTACAGTTATACTTTATTCTTTTTTGCATTCACCACTAGTGATAAAATGTATGTTTTAATGTGTATTCATATCATAATAACATAATTATTTTATTTTGTAGCCACCAAGTGGTTCTGATGTGAAGCATATATATCAAGAGGAATGGAGAGAAGTATTCCTAATATCAGCTGAAATTTACATTTTTGGTGCAGCAGTTTATCTGATACTAGCTGATGGTAAAAAGCAATGGTGGGCTGACGGAGTTAAAAAAGAAAGGAAAAATTATTCAATTCAATAAATACTGCCCTTTGGGTTCGCTGAATACAAATAGTTGATAAATTTGTTTTTTTTTGTACACTGCCATTATTTTTAGTACAAAAGTCTAAGTAATTATTTTTACTGGTGTTATCAAAAGTAAAAAATAATAAGCTATTATAAATAACAAAGTCAAAACATTTATTGTCTTTTGTAGTATCCAGACTGTTCCACCATTTGTAAAACATCCCCACTTTCAGCAAACTTCTTCATGCTCTGGATGAGCCAGGGTCCATACTGCATGTACTCACTTTCCTCTCTAAATGTATTTCCTTTCGGTGATAAAGACAAAGGTACCTTAGCAAAGTAGCCAGGCTCAAGGAAGAATGGTAAACTGTATCATTCCCCTCCAGGATCAATCACACGATGCTTGGTAGCTTTTATTCTACCACCTGTTGATTCTGAGAGTGTCTTACCTAAATTAACAACTAGTGATCCAGGACGTGGTTTAACATCAAGCCAACTGTTATTCTGTAGCAACACTTGAAGACCTACATGTAAAAGAATAAAAAGAGCATCAGTATAACCACAAGTTTACATTAGTATAAGAAAGGTCAAAATTTGAAAAATTATATATTATATGTACACGTATATATTTGAGGACCGAACTCTTATAAATTTCTATAATTTCTTGGATTAATGGGGCAGTTAATGATAGTGCATATGTCACACATAAATCAAAGTTGAGGTATGATAGTGAACGTCATAATTATTACAAATCAAATGTCAAATACATGTATCTCCTTCATTACACATTTGAATCCCTAAAGATGAATAGGGACTAGGGTACAGAACTTATGCAATACACATTCCTTAATTTAACCACACAATTATAATTCAATCCCACTTAATGTATACCATATAGTGGGAAATTTCGGAGGGAGCAAAATTTGGCAAAATGCTAAATTTTTAGTGATTGGCTGATTTTAATTTGGTGAATTGCCATTGAGCATGTGCATTATTGCTGAATGGTGAATTTTTATTTGGTGAATTGCTATCAAAACGCCAATTCGCCAAAATGAAGTATCGTATTTGCTCAAATAAACACCCTGCTGAAATAAACACCCATGACAAATATTTTCTAACTATAGATATGCATATTTGAGCCAGTATATGTTCCACAAGTTTTAGATTGTGCCAGATAGCCTAACTGTTGGAAAACGGTTTAGAACGCGAAAAGGTTGTGGGTTCAAATCCTCTAGAGGCTTTTTTGTTTTTTTTTACCTAATTTTTTTCCTGTTAAGAAATAAACACCCAGGCGTTCAATCGAGGCTAATTTTGATCAAATTTGGATTTATTATGAATTTTTAAAGTTGCTCAAAATCAGGCCAAAGCCCCTGTACTATATAGTACAGGACTTTGGCCAATTTTTGTCAAAAATGAAAAGTAGAAGATTCTCCACTTTTATAATTTTCCCTGATACATATAAATGTTCTTATGCTGTGTAGAAAGTTAGAACTGATCCTGATCAAATTTGGATTTTTTAATGAATTTTAAAAGTTGCTCCAAATGCCAAATATTACATACATGTAATTGTAGCTCATGAAGCAATCTTACTTAGCATGCTTGTGGGAAATCCTGCAGTAGGACATGTTATTGGCGTAAAATTGCTTTTAATAATATTTATTTCAAAATTATATTGCTCAGACAAAATGTTAGATCAGCACAGAAATCAGTCGAACAATTGAGCAAAATGGTCAAAAAATGTCCGATGTCTAACTATGTCATTTCAGGCTCAGGTAAATGAATAATAATAGACAGCAGTACAACTACAAGCTGAATGATGTGTACGTGAAAATCAGCAAAGTGGGAACAAATGAAATGCTAATAGAAAACAACCCCTGAAGCATATGCATGTACAAATAGAGATGAAGGAAAGAAACTCACCAGTGAAACCAAACGTTATCAATAACGTCACAAACCCGCTGTCCACATGTGTCTCACACACTACTACCTGCCCATCCTCTATTGCTTTGTCAGGAGGAGCAAACTCTCTAGGAGGATAATGTTGAAGACGTAGAGTTGAGAGTGTGTCTGGAACAAAGAGGTGGTGGAAGTATGTCTCAGGCAATCCTAGCCCGATAGCTAAGAGCTGTAGGAATTCGACTGATGCTGACATCATTCTCCTAAATGATAAAAAATAATAATTGTAAAGATTATCTTATAATCGTAAGGGTTTTGGCATTCATCTGGCTAATTCTACGAGCTCAAAAATAATTATCTGTCATCAAAAGTGTCTTGTACTTTTTAATAATTAAATACAAATCATAAAAATGTTTGGCATTAACTCAAAAATGTGTAGTCAGTATTGGCTCTTATTTTATTTAAAGTCAGGCACTTAAAATTATAATAATGAAAAAGCCTAATATTAATTAGAACAGCTACACCTACAGGTAGAATTATCTCAAATATGTACATGTAATGTTTTCCTACTGTCTCCTTGAACTTCGTATAAAACTTTCTTTCGTCTTCATTCTCATTAGGATCAGGTTGAGGCCACACATTATTCTCAGTCAATGGAAACCCTTCATCTGACTCCCTTTCATAGCCGGGACAAGTACTGCTATCCTGCCCAAACTCATAACCTTCCTTGTACGAGCTATAATCTTTATCTAGACCAAAATAGCCACGATAAAAGTTCCTGTTCTTATTATTGTGAAGGTATCTTGCCACGCTTAGTTTCTTCTCGAGAGGTAGAGAAAAGAACCATTTGTTTGCCTCCATTAGTTCTTCCTCTGCCTCGATATTGTAACCAGGTACATTGTCCAAGCATAGAAATCCAACAGTCTCCATTACATGAACAATACGAGAAGCAGTCTCTTTCTTATCAGGAGAGGAAAGATCCACTACAGGAAGAGACTCCATTAGAATAATTATTGTCAACGCCCACTCATTCACATGCACAGTACAGAGCTAGAGACTGTGCATTGTCTTAAAATAGAAGTGCATGGCATTACTATACTATTGCACATAAATTTCATAATACTGAACAGGAACATGTTCATTATAACTCTAGGTTGGCTCATCTCCCCACACCCTCAATTCAATGTAATCAGTAGGTAGTGTTACCATAGTTTCGGTAAAACCATGGAATACCAGGAACAGAACAGCAATCCCTTTTAATAGAACTATGCACAGCCTTTGCCATCACAAAGAGGATCAGCTTCAAAAAGACCACTGGGATACTGATCATACTAATTACCCGATTCACAAAAGAAGTTATTTTCAATAAATTTCAGTACAGCTTGTACAACCCGTATTACAGGGAAAACAGTACAATGAATCAGTCATAGATTTACCTGACCATCCAGCTATTGCAGTCCAAACATGTATACGAGGAGAGCCACGAGTGATGCTGATACCATCAACATGATAAGAATTGAGCCCACCATTTCCTCTGTAATGTCCTATGCCAATTACTGCATCTGTATAGTTCCTACTTGGTATCCTAATTATTCTACCACACACTTGGGAGTAACTATTATAATACCATTAGAAGGAAACTGAACAGAAATGCAGCTACCAATAAATGATTCAGGCCTACCACAAGCTCTAAAAACTCTTGAATGATATAACCTAAACCCAGAAGGAGAGCTCTGTGTTATAGGATCAGTCAAATTCAAATGATAGCCTATCCTTATCCATCCTCCTCCAGATACACAGTTTTCCCATATTACAGTATGTGTGCTTTGTTCCATTATTCATTGTTTTCAGTAGATATACACCAAAGGAACTGTTAAGATCCTTTCCCTTTAATCCTTCACATGATGTAGGAATGTCATCAGTATAATATATGACAATCATTTGTGGAATCGTTACACAACAACTGTAGCAAATCTTTTAACACAATTGTTATGTCACTTTGAATGGTGACACTGGAAAGACAGTCATTTATTGTGCTCAACGACATAACTACATAACAGCTATTCCTGAACTTTGCCTATATTACATGTAAATTGGCATTACTTGTATTACACTTTGGGCCATTACATAAAACCATTACAATACCCATGATACAACATGATATATAAATGCTGTCGGCAACACCCATTTATTTACATCATGCATAATAATTTTTTAAATATTAACAAACTTTAACATAAAGCATTCTATATAGGGGTTCCTGTAAAAATATTATAATTAACACTTGATCCTGTAATCCTACTTATTTGGACAGCAGGAGTGGGTTGTGAATGGAAGGGCAGACGAGAACTCTGTAAATGCATATCATCAGTGCATGAAAGTCGGTTAGTGGCAGAGGTGTCCCTACTGAGATGTAGACGATCAATATTTCCTGAAAAGGAAGATGATCGTCTTAATCGCGAAGATGAAGGCAGCCTTCTTCTTGATTCTGCCTCTTCTTTGTATTGCAGTATAGATCTCAGTTCCATTAAAAGTTCACCAAGTCTGTTTAATCCACTTCCATCTCCACCATCACCCCAATAAGAGTCCCTGTAAGTGTGTTCAATTAATTTGCAATCTTTTGTTTCCAGCAACTTTATCTTGAGTCTTTCATTTTGCATAAATTTGTTAGCCAAGGCTTTGAACATCACATCTTCCTTAACACTGGCCCAGTCTCTCCTCTGCCATCGTGATACCTCTGGCATACGTGAGTACTGAAAAGCTTCCCGTGGGGTAGGCAGTTTCCTAATCACCTCACAGTAAGGCGTGCCTATAAATTTTTGAGCTTGAAAATAATGTTCTGTTGTTGGCCAAATGACTCCATCTATTTTCACTGGCTGAAGGAAAAAGTTGGTGAACTCATAGTATGGCTCATAGCTATGATAAAATCTGATGCAGTTTGCAGGACTAAGAAGACTATGAACTCCTTTCAATGGTTTTCTCTCAGAATAATTTGGTGATTTGGAAGTGGCCGGAGAAACTGTGGATGTAATAGAACACAATTTAGTACATAAATGTAATAGCACGAGTACAAGTGACAAGTATAACATACATTTGTGAAATATTCTTTAGTTAATAAAGTGAATTCACTTTTTAATTTAAAACAACACTACAAAATTACATGTAGCTAGCTGTGTGCACATGTGAACAACATGAACAATTACATGTACATAGCTCTTATTTATTGAAAAGTTTACTGGCAATTACCAGAAATTAATAATTGGTAATTACATATAACCAGGGTTTTCCTAACAGGATTTTGGCACAATGCTATTATTTATTATAGTACTGCTAGGAGAAAATTTTAATTTTCATATTTTTTTCCTGATACACATGTTCTTGTGCTGCATAAAAATTTTGAGCTAATTAAAGTTGCTCAATCATCAAGCCAAAGTCTCCATACTATAATGGATCTTTTGGCCAAATTTTGTTAACATGGCTAGGAGTGAATTTTCCATTTTTATAATTATTTTCTGATACATATACTATATAGCAAGTTTGAACTGATTCCGACCAAAATTGAATTTTACAAGTTACTCAAAAATTGGGCCAAAGTCATTATACTATAGTACAGAGTCTTTGGCCAAATTTCATCAAAAATGGTTGAATTACAATTATTCATTTAAAAACATTTTTACATGTACATGTTCTTATGTTATATAAAAACTTGGAGCTGATTCCAATCAAATTGGATTTTTTCACAAACTTTTAAAGATGCTCCGAAATTCTAGCTTGTACTTATCGATTCATGAAGCATACTGTTGAAGCTAGTTCCACCCTACCCATCATGCAACAGTTCTATATTAGAAAAAGGCCAGCAACCTTATAACTGATTGCCGGGTAAAGAGAATAGTTCTCACAAGTTAATAAGAAAGGCTGAGTCAAAAGCACTACAAAATATTTGCCTAAAGCTAAGAGCATATGTACATAATATTGTACTAATTACAAAAGATCTCCTATACATCAATATCAAGAACAACTGTTCTAACACAACCGCTTGGCCCGGGCGGCGGCCAGACTACACTACAACCACCACAGCAGGCTGCCAACTTTGAACATTTAATGTTCAGCATCTAGACTTACGTTCTTTAAATTTAGGGATGCCACAAGAGGGAGTATAACCAGATTTCAAACGTTGCTGCAGATAACTACCACTGTGTTTTGAACTGTGTTTACTTCTAGTAGCCATTTTTATTTTGGGTTGGGTTGGGTAGGGTGCGGCTTAGATGATGACGTCATTTTTTCTTTACAATAATGGCGACTTCTCCGTCGACTTCTCAGGCTCAAATGTGCTTGATGTGTAAAAAGAATGGCCGCGACGACTGCTCTGTTTTCTGTCGATCGTGTGAATTAGAATATCCTTACTGCTATGAATGTGGTGAAAAAGAGAGGAACATTCCCTATAAGTTATGCTCCGATTGCTATTCAAAGACAAGGTCTGAACGTCGAGCTATAAAAGGTAAAGAAAAAGTAGTGAATTGTACTTAGCATGTATGATAAGCCTATGGGAAGGGAAAGAGATGGGCATGAGCATGAATATTGGTGGGCTATAGCCTTAATATAAATACCAGAGCTGTGAATGAGGTGTGACCGAGAAAGAAATAAAGTTCCATGGACAACAACTTTGTGGTAAAGAATCTGCTGAACATGGCACCAAATTTGTTTTATGAGATGCTGAGCAGTACCCATTCTTTCTCCCAACTGACTTTGTAGTTTAAAAGCTAGGGTTTAAGACCTGTCAAACAAGGCATTTTATTTTATGTAATGAATCTTGCCGTCTAAAATGGTGACCAAACATTCAATGTAGATGGATACCATGTCTCAAAAATGATGATGATATCAGAGCCTGAAATTATATTTCAATAATGTTCAGACATTGTGTCTAAACGTTGTTTAATTTGATCTGCCACTTTTATGGAAATGGTCAGACAGGGTTTCCAACATGATTTTGGCATACTCCTCATGCAGCTTCTTTTCAGTGGATTATCAAGTTGCTCAAAAGTTGGGCCTAAATACAAGATATTTACGCAGAATTACAAAGAGAGAAGTATCTAGTAATAATTTAATTTTTTTGATAAAAATACATGTTTTTTACATTGTGAATCAACTTTGAGCTGATTCTAATCAAATTTGAATTTTTTTACAAATTTTTAAAATTGCTCAAAACTTGGGCCAAAGTCCCTGTACTTGGCGAAAAATTAAAAGTAAAGAATTTTTCTTTTTTATAATTTTTGTTGATACATATACATGTCTTTATGCTGTGTAGAAATTTTAAGCTGATTCCAAGCAAATTTGAATTTTTTACGAATTTTTAAAGTTGGTCAAAAATCAGGCCAAAGTTTTTGTATACATGTAGTGCAGGGACTTTGAACATTTATTGTCAAAAATTAAAAGTAGAGAATTTTTTATTTTTATAATTTTTCCTGATGCATAATTGCTTATACATGTTTTTATGCTGTATGAAAAGTTTGAACTGATTCCGATCAAATTTTGATTTTTGTGAATTTTTAAAGTTGCTTCAAATGCCATTTACTCTGTTGTAGTGACTGTTATTTCAGGCTTTGTGATATGATTTGCCATTCACAGCTCTAGAGGTCTATAGCCCCAATAATATAATTGCTGAATTGTTGAAATTTGATTTTGGCCTGGCCCAGGAAGGCATGTATCTGTTCCTGCTGAGTCTAATTTTTTTTAAATTTGCATCTGTTATGGTTTGCATCCTTTCAGAGTCAAAAATTGTTTATTAAAAAAAATTTACAGTGCTGTTTATACATTGTACATGTATATGTACATGTAAATTGAATTTTGCCTCGTTGTAATGCAGTCAAACTAAAAGTCCTCCCCCATATTTTTGATACAAAAATTTAAATTTTTTGGACTATTGAATGGATACTTTGTAGGGACACCACTATAGTATCAGTACCAAAGTGCAAATTTGTATACCTGCATGCACGTAGAAAGGCTTTTTGGATGCTAATGTTTACTGATATTTTGGATTTTCTTTTTTTACATGTTATTTTTTATTTAATTTTATTGCATTCCAGTCAGTGCATGTTATTTACTATTGTTTATATTTAAATTGTTGTTTAGAAATAAAAAAGCAGCCATTATTGAGTCGTCTTGATGCCAAGAAAGCAGAGTACCAACGTGCTCATGAAATTTTTAAGTCGAAATGGGTTAAATATTTACCTGTTCCAGAGCCAGAGGCTATATTTGCAGTATCAAATAGCAAAATTTGGGAATCATTTCAGAAATATGCAAAGGATTTAAAGGAAAAAGACTCTGATGCAACAACGGATTACTTTTTCCATGGGACAACTCTGCAGTGTGATCTCCTGGAGCAAAATGAAACTTGCGATGATTCGAACTGTGGAATTTGTGGCATTGTGGCAAGAGGTTTCGATAAGTCTCTTATTGGAAAGAACATACCCCGTTTTAAAAGATATGGAGAAGCATTTTATTTGGCACCTAACTCATCAAAGTGTCATGATTATACTCAAGGAAAGGAAGATATTGGTATGCGTGCTCAATTGTTATGTCTTGTTGCATGTGGAACTAAATTTGAGACAACAAAAGATCATACTCGTCTGATGAAAGCGCCTGAAAAATGCGATTCTGTGTATGGAAATAGTGGAGGAACATTAAATTATGAGGAGGTAGCTATTTACGAGTCAAGAGCAATATTACCTGAATTTGTTATTGTATACAGTAAAAATGGTGTTCATAAGATAGCAAAATGAAGTAAAAGTATTTTTATCCTTTTTTGTCATCAATTTACAAGTGTTATTTGTTTTAGAAATCATTGATGTATAATTCCTATGAATTAATTTTATTAATTAACAATAATTATTATCACTAAAGAGGGGAAGTACAAATTTCCCTGAAATAGGAGGAGCCCAAATCGTAATTATCGATCTCTCTTCAGATCATAGATCAATAGCTACCCGACATGAAAGACATTCAAGGGATCATGAGAGGGAAGTGTAACTTCTGTGACGAATGTGAGGAGTACATAGCACCGAAGGAAGGTGCCCGCTGTGACTATTGTAATCACACGCCGATAGAACACGTTAGAATTATAAAGTTGGGTGCCTGTAAAAAATGTTCAAGTGACGAATGTTCTGAATACATATCCGGGGAGAAAAAAAGCTACACTGATTGTCAATACTGTGGTTGTAAAGCTATGGATCATGCCGGAGCGGAAAAACGTATGTACTAACTATAATCATACAAACTGATCTATTTATGTAACAGTTAGGAAAAAGGCCCCTGCAGCTAGTGCGACAGTTTCTACCACTCCAAGTGACCGCTCACAAAGTGACCGCTCACAAAGTGACAAATGTAAGAACCCAGGTTGTACACGTCAACGTTACACAGAGAAAGGTGGTAAAAAGCATGACTTCTGTGGACGAACTTGTGCTACCAAGTACCAGGAAACTCACAGCGGTAACTAAAAATTACTCGTGTATCAATTATTAAAGCATTATCTAGGGTCAGGACCCTCACTTCATGCAGTAGCTTCAGGATTTCAGATGCCATTGTCAACTCCTAAGTCAACACCACCATACAAGTACAGACCAGCTGAAGCCACACCTCTGACTGGTGGAAAACTTTGTGCTAAATGTGGCCTTCGTTCAGCTAATGAAGGTTACGTTTGGTGCCAGAATTGTTTTGAGAGCTCACAAACAGGGGACAAAAAATAATTAAACTCTTCTAACAGAAACTTGAATAATAATTTAATAATACAATTTTATTTAGCAATTTTGTGAATGCTGTCCCGTTTATAAAATATAATGTATTTTGGATTGATGGCTTCAGACTTGTACAGGACAATTTCATCATAATTCAGTGCACCTCCACTAGCACCATATACTGAATTATGACCAGTTGGAGGCCCCATCAATTTTGTCTGGTCATTTTTGACAACATGTTTGTTTCCAGGTGCAACATCACAGAGCAGCATTGCACGATAATCAACAAAACCCTGTGTGTAATCGTGACATTTGGATGAATTAGGAGCAAGATAAAACCCCTCTCCAAAACGTTTAAAGCGAGGAATATTATAGCCTTTGAGAGCTGGGTCAAACCCTCTTCTGCTAATACCACAAATGCCACATTTGGGATTAACACACGGAGTCTTGTTAGCTTTTACATCACACAACAGAGAAGTTCCATGAAAATGTGGCTCTTGAGATGACGAAATATCTTGCCTATATTTATCAAACGCATTTTCATTTTTCTTATTGAATATTTGAAAAATAGCTTCAATTGTAGGAGGTGGTGGCTTCTTTACCCATTCTTTATTGAAACGAGTTGCTACTTTCTTATATTCATCTCTAGTGGCACATAACTCCACTAATACTATTAAAAATGACATTTAAATGACTGTGCATACACATATTTTAGTTTACTTTGCTTGTATGCTTGGTCATTGTGGGACTGCCCACAAAATGTTTCACTTGTTCCTGTTTTAGGATCAACATAACATGGTTGACTACAATCTGGCAATAAACAAGGAGCTGAAAAAGATATATACAATTGGTCAATTTTTTGCTGAGTGTATAATAATAACTAACTTCCAGTAGGTTTTGGTGGTTGCTTGTTAAATGCATCCCGACATGACCTTCCACAAAAATCATGCATTCTTCCATCTTTTTCCTTCCATTTTGGTCTAAAACAGCTTGGATTTGAACACTTAAGCTGAGGGTCTATATCTATGAAAAGTAATTGATAAAATATCTATTTTACGTTATGATCATATACCTGACGACTGCTTCTTATACTTGTCACGACAAGTTTTTCCACAAAAATCATACATTTGTCCATATTCATCGATCCACTTTTGTTTAAAACAATTTGGATTCATACATTTATCATCAACTACTAAAGACATAAAATAGTTATTTTTGATAACAAATAAAAGCTATTTTGATACCTGATATAAGTTCACTTTGTTGATTAGCTACTGTCTGGCCTACATATAATGGCCTACTTTGATGTTCGTCACAGAACTGGGAACTGTGTCCACTGTTCTCATCAAATGTAGTTACATTAGGGCATCCGTTAACTGCACACATGGATTTAAATGTGGCACCTTCGCCAAAGTTAGCAACACACCTTTCATCTGTAATATCAAAAAGTGAAGACGTAACATCATGATAACGTGGAATGGAAAGGGAGGGTACATATGAGCTTCTGTTAACATTCAATGATGGAGGTGGATCAGGAGTCACTGACGGATCAGGGAACCTAGTAGGGCTAGGAGGTCTCTTTCCTGTTCCAAGGTTTTGATGCTTAGCCGGAGGGTGTCCACAAATGACACAGAGTACTTTAGAATGATCCGAACCTCTTTTGAAGTTCGTACAGTTCTTGCAAAGACTACAGGAGCCTCTCAATATGCCACGACTGTCTACCTGAAGATCATTCTTTTGATGCGGTGACTTGATCACGGGCTCTGGTTGTGTCAGCCGTGATCCAGAAGAATCGGGTAATAACTTCAAATCATCAAACGTTGGTTTTAAAGTGTGAAGGACGATGGGACTACCAGACTCGCAATGTACATTTAACATTTCATCTGGGATATCCGGGCGCTTAATACGGGGACTTTCAAGCTGATGAAGAGGCTCGGTCATGTCGGTTACCTCGTCGTCGGAGTCCTTTTCATCATCCCAGGCAACCCTAACATCACCATGACGCATAGGCCGAGGTGAATCTTCTTCTAATTGTTTACTTTCAACTATGTATTCTACCCAGTCTTCTGCCGCCGCCATCTCGTCCATCTTGAGAGAGCTGAGTCGAGTGGGTCAGTGCCGGGATTGTGGGAAAATCCACTGTAAGAAAACACGCCCAAATTGCCAACAACGTAATAATTTATCATCGACAATTCGACATCACTGTGATAGAGGTAGATATAGATCTATGCTATGAAGGACTGTTTTGGTAATCAGAGAGGTTCTTGTAAAAAATGTAAGAAGTGTGATGAGTTCATATCAGCTGAGGGAAAGATTAGATGCGCACAATGTGGATGTACTCCGGTAGATCATGAAAAGGTCGGCAATACCACTGTCATGCCTGATCATACTAAATCATCTATGCCTGTTAACCATCGTGAAGCCGCGGAAGATAAGAATGGTAGCATCATGGATGACTCCAGCGTCGGGCATTTAGGGGTAGCTACAAAAAACATTGAAAGTACGTAGGCTGTGTGTGTCTGTGCTGTGCATAACTATCATTAATGATTATAATTATTGTGATTATAGGGAGTTCAGTGTTTCCTGTGTGTAGACATCAGTGTTGTCAAAATATAGTCGAGTTTGATATCAACACAGGCAAAAATTTTCATTTTTGTAGCTATCACTCCTTCGCAACATTAGAAAATATTATTCAGGACGGTGAACTAGATTTGATGAATGTATCTTCAGAAAGTAAGAAACTTTAAATGTCATATAATTATAAAAGACACATGTACCATACAGGTCAAGTACAAAATTTTGAGGGCATGTAATTTTATGTTAGTTAAGCTCAGGCAGGGGCAATATAGATTTCACCGTGCGTTATCACATGCATGTGCATGAGCAAATAAATAATACCGTATAAGATGATTATTTTTAGGCGGGAGTTTTTATTGGCGGTTTTGTAATGGCTAGCTTATTGGCGGATTTAATATTGGCGGTTTCTAACAATTTAATTATATCCCCACCCTTAGGTGGGGTTTTACTTAAGCGGTTGTGGTTCATGGAGAACATTATTATCAGAGAAATACTGTACCTTTTCTGGAAGATTGTGTTCTTTATCACCTGGTTTAGAGACTGGCTTAAAGAAACATAGTAAAGCCATGTTAGCTAGCTGCTTTTAATGGAATTATTGCTTGTGGATTTTATTTTGGCATTTTTATATAAATCCGTCAATCCGCCAATATAAAATCCCCATTAACATTTCATCTTATACGGTAAGTACATGTGTTGTACATGTACATGAGTATTTCCAAGGTATTATTTAAGAAATTACCCTAAAAATCTGTAAAATTAAATACCCCACAAAATTTTATACCCATACAGAGTAATGTAGGGCAGTAATGTAAGATGTGGCATTCTGGCAGTGGGGTAATTTTATGAAATTCATATTAATTTTTGTCTTTGTTATACAAAGAGCAATTTTAGCAACAGATAAAAATGAATAATAGTTTTCTCAGCACTTTTCCAGAAAATTACCTCACCTCCATTTTAACGCCACTATAAATTACTCATAACTACTTTTACATATTCAGAAGAAGAAAGTATCATTTCAAAATCACCAGAAACACCAACAACATCAGTTTGCAGGAAATCAAATTGTCATGAATTAGTAGAGTTCGACCTTAACACAGGAAGAGAGTTTTCATTTTGTAGTTATCACAACTTAATGATGGACGAGAATGAAGACTATCAGGTTGACAAGTCTAATCATGGTATATTAATAATCTATGCAGTATACTGTCAATAACTATAATTATCATAATTGTACAGAGTGTGCAATAAAGGAATGTAAAAATGAGCGTTTTGTGGATGATGAAGGAGTTGTACATGAGTGCTGTTGTTATACTCATGCTATGGAGCATCATAGAAGAAAGTCTCTTCAAGTTCAAGGTGCATGTGCATATTGTCAATATAAATTTTAGTTCAAATTCTATAGGTATAAATCAAGATATTGTCAAAGGCATCACTCATTGTCTTCTGCCTGAGTGTGATAATTTTACTTGGCCTTTTGAAAATTATTGTGGAAAAACTCATGCTAGTATTGGAATGGCTAGAGGATTACATGGTAATGGTTATTACTACTAATAAAAGTTGTTTATTTTTATATAGTGAGAAAAATTACAGACAGTGACGATTCTTCTTCTGAAAACAGGTGTATATACCCAAATTGCACAAAGAAAAGATATGTTGAACAAAGTAGTGGAGTTACACATCCATACTGTGGCAAAACACATGCTAATCTTGCTAAATCTTTGGGAATATTTTGTAAGATTATAATAATTGCTCCTTCATATGCTTCATAAAATAATAGTAACTGCATCTAGTCCTGATGATCAATGTGAGTTAGAGGGTTGTAATGTAAAGAAACGTCAAGAAGGGAAGCGTTTACATGATTATTGTTGCATAGAACATGCAAAAAAAGATGAACCAAATAGAACAGGTAAGTGATTTTTGAACAATTTTTATCAGAATTTTTTTTATATAGTACTGACAAGTCTTGCAGATGTGAACGAATTTTTGAAACAATTTCCCAAATTAACTGTTGTTTCACTGGATGAAAATGAGCATGCAAAAAAAGATGGTGATCTTTATAAAAAATTTCGTGATAAGGCAAAGTCACTACCAAAAGACCAAAGAAAGACATGCCTGGCATTTCATGGGACTGCAGCAACAAATATACCAAAAATTTGCCAGAATGGATATGATCCAACTAAAAGAAGAGGACAAGCTTATGGAGCAGGGGAATATTTTGCAAAGAATCCATCCATGTCCATGAGTTATTGCAAAGGAGGCAAGAAGATGCTACTCAATGAGCTGCTTTTGGGAAAAGAAGGAGTGCACCATACCAAACATGGAGATATTATTGTAATGAAAGAGCCAGTTCATGACCTACCTAGATTTGTAATAACATATCAGTGATAGTTTGTATACAAAGTTATGATAACACATCCTCGTAAATGAAAAATAAAATATCAAATGAGTCAGTTTAACTTTATTAATTAACAATTATAATTAAATTATAAAGATGGTCATTCCTCTCTAACAGTTGACTGAAGGATTTATGATGTACATCCTGTATTTCAGTATTAGTAGCCTCAGCAATACACTTTACTGTATCGTTGTTTCTTAATCCGGAATGATAAGCCAAACTCTCATTTTTTACTTGCAGTTTATTGCCTTCCTACAAATTAGATAAAATATTTTAAAAATAGAATTCAACATAATTTACCTTTATTTCTATTCCAAATTCATAAGTTTTTTCTAAAAAAACAATCTTTTTAAACGAACCATGTACTACAAATCAACAATGCCAATAGCAAGCATTATAGTTTTGACCATACTTTTTTCAATTAAATGGCCCAGTTTTATATTGAAAGCAGGGTCCCTAATAACTACCAGCTTAATAAAAGTTTTTGGTGAAACTATGGTTTCAATTTCATAAACCTCTTTGATGTTCGTACCGTTAACCTCAATAACCATATCATGAATATTGACTTCTTCCCTTCGAAAGAAATCAATTGCATTTGGAGTTTCAGCTCCAATGATTGCAACCTATATGTACATGAATTAATACCAGTCCTATGTGTAAAATTTTTAACTAACTTTTTTTTTATCTTGATCTGGTATAAAAAGAAATCCAGTGGGGGCTTTAGGTTTTGTTTCCATAGTCACAATAATTTTTTGTGGATGTGGTATGATTGGCATACGAATCTTGTTTACGTCTTGTTTTAGTTTCTTATCATATTCTGGCAGTGCATGTTCATCACGACAATTAGGAGAGCAGTAGATAAAAAATCCTAAATTTTTGTCACAAAAAACACGCTTGTCACAGTTAGAACAAATGGGCCAGCTATCTTTACCAGTATTGACTCTGGGCCTGGCAGCTACAGAGATAACAATTAAATCATGTACAAGATATTGATAATTGTACAATCAAAATACACAAAGTTATGATGAAATATATCATAATCATGCTGATATGGGTTGATACACATTTCACTTCAGATACTTTGAATTGATATCACCCAAGGGCCAAAAGCTCTGTGTTGGGATATCAACCCACAATCATTGTGTTACATATAACGTAATATATATTTATATACATGCATGCACTATTAGAGGAAAAACATGATTTTTTATTTATAGCAATAATTATAAATTTTTAAATTGAAATACACACTATTACGTTTTTCGTAAGTCAATAATTGGCCTTGTTGGCGATTAGTGTGGGCGAGGACTGTGTAGTTAAGTGTGTTGTTTACAAGTTGATGCTCATTATAGGGGCACATAAATTAAAATGGCGTCAAACCACAAAGCCAGGTAGTGTCTTCAGTACTGTAGTGATGGGCAAAATCAGTTAATTCTGATTCTGAATACATTCAGATCAGGAGTTAATACAATCAAAATTAAAATACCAATTTCAAATACACCATGTCTTTGTGCTTATAGGAGCTAGTTAGATCATTAAAAGGATAGTAAATTGAGTGAACTTCCACAGCTTAAAAATTATTCTGTTGATAGACGAAAGATGAAAGAAAAAAGTCTGAACAATTTTGAATGTTAAGCCTATTTTCTCAAAATCTTTTGGCTACAATACATTGCAATTAACTGAAAGGTATTACAGAACTATGAGAGTCACTTAGTCAAGGTTAATAGCTCATTTAAGCCATTTATAAGGCTGTAAAACATAACTTGAAATAGCTGGGTTATAACCATTTGAAACTTACCACCATTTAAAAAAATCAATTACTAACGTGTATTGTCTAGCTATTTATACATGATTACTATAACATACTCCACCCTATAAAGACTCAGCATACTCACTGACGATACGTCAGGCATACCAACTAGACACTCTACGTGAGTGTCTTAATTTGGCACAGTCAGATACACTTCAGTGACAGGCTATTTATGAACATTATTATAAGGGTTAAAATAGCAATGAAAAGCAAAGATGTGCCTTGGTAGTTTGTAAGAATAGATACAAAACTTACAGGAAACAACCTCTGAGTAAGATGGTGTGATGGGTGACTCATTCAACATTTTCTCATGCTTCCCTGGTGGATGTTTACATCTGGCACAAACTAGACCCTCTCCACATTGAAATAACTGACAATCGCATTCTCTACAACTTCCACGAGGAACCCCTCTTATGTCCGATTCCCATTGACAGGCTACAGCCATGAGAATCAACTTGAAATGATCAAGCTCGGAAACAAGCAACGTAATTACACTCGAGTGACTGGGCGTGGCTTCTTGTATGGTTGCATAGATAATAAAAAATAGAGTAAAATCTATGATTACTGGCTAGGTTATGCTATGTAAAATTCTTTATGGGTTATGTTATGTAACCATGTAAATGATTATTCTGTCTATATATAATACATGTGCGATACTTATTATTAGAGCAATGACAAAGCATCCTATTCAATCTTTAAAATTAAAAAAATTCTTAAAATTAGACCTGGGTCTCATCTATAAATTCATTATCAATGATAAGACATGAAGTTTGATCTTCAGTTTTATTTTCATTCAACCTATTAAGGCTACTGCTTCCATTGTCATCACTAGCTGCAGCATCACTGGATTCCTGTGAAGAGAAAAAAAATTATAATTTAAATGTTCATTATTTACTGGTTGTATTGTAATGCTTAGCATTGCACTATCATTTAACTGTCCGCTGTTATCTTGGGTGTCCATTCGGTCTTCATCTGATGATGGTGAATTATGTGTGTTGCTCCCCACGTCATTTTCACTGGTATGCTCAGACACAGTGTCAGTTTTAAAACATTTTATCTCTGCTCGAAGAAAATATCGAAGATCCATTAATAGCTCTCCAAGTTTATTAAGACCCCTCCCATCTGGCCCATCTCCCCAGTAACTATCATAAGGCGAATGCTCTATAAGTTTCCGGTCATCTGTCATCAGCAATAAAATCCGAAGGTTATCATGCTGAGTAAACTTATGGAAGAGTGCACGATACATGACATCATCTTTGACTGATGCCCAATCTTTCCTTACCCAGTCCCTCACTCCTTGCTGACGAGGATATTCAAATGCTTCACGTGGAGAGGACAATGAAGCAACTTGAAAACAATATGGTGTTCCAATAAGCTTCTGAGATTGAAAATAATGCTCAGTTGTTGGATATAGGACTCCATCTATGACAACAGGATAATACGAGAAGTTAGTAAACTCATAGTAAGGATCACGACTATCATAGAATAAAATAGCTTGATGTCCAGACCTTCGACTATCTATAAAAATATAGGAGAGAGCAGTTGCAAAAATTTAAAATGGTGGCAATCTGAATCTATACATTATTTATAGGCATTTTCTGACATGCATATAGAAAATAGCATAAAAGTGTGGCCCAGCATAATTATTTATGTTAGGAAATTAGAATATTAATCTTTGTACTTTTAGTGTATCTATCTATATGGCACTTACATGACAAAGAGTGGACTGAATTTGGCACCCAAATTGCTTCAAAGATTTGTTTGTGTTGTATAGCATGTCTTTTTCCACAATAGTCCTTTAGCTCATAGCTTTCTTCATCCCAAAAACGAGTTTTATTACAATCAGGAAACAAACATGTGTTGTAACAACCTATACAAAGTAGATAATGAAACAGGACTACAAAATTTAATCTGTGTAAGATCAGTAAAAGGTAGCATTGGTAGATTTTTAAAATAATAATAAGAGCCATAGCACAATTGATTACTGTATGACATGTACAAATGTAGGTAGTGTAAATTGTCAATGAAATGATTATTAGAAGGATTATACTAACTATATTATAGACCTCCTCAGGTGAAATTGACAGTGGACTATGAATATCATTACTTAACTTTTTACGGTATCCACCTACATGTGACAATTGGTTGCCATTTTGGACGGCAAGATTCAATGGAGGATGAATAAAGAAAAATCAAAACTGATTCTTTTTTGCTGGCATTGAGGTTTTTCAAGCTACATGATTGCTGCTAAGCATCTCTTAAAAGGGATTTGGTGCAATATAAAGCATATTCTCTATTACAGCTTGCTTTCTGCATTAGCCCATTCATACTCCATGGAAAGTTACCGTCAACTGTTTACACTGTTTACTGACAGTAGGATTACCTTATAGCACTTTATTTTGGCAATTTTGATGTAAAATTGTAATTGGCGTTTTTTGTGTATAATGCAATACTGAGCATGTGTATTTAATGATTGGTGGTTTTAATATTGGCGATTTTGCTTGTAAACTACCCCGCATTGCCAAAATGAAACTCCACCATATTAAAGCGCATTACAGGATGTTCATACACAACCTTGTGTTGTTAAACTGCCTGTAAGTTGGCAGAATTAACTCATATAGGGTTTAATCCCATTTTCTTTAAAATAATTATTCTGAAGTTTATTACTATTTTTGCCAAGTATATATACAGTGTAAAAATTAGGATTTTTGCATAGTTATTTTTATGCCGATCTACAAGAAAAATTAAAGCCATTAATTCGAGATGCTGCTGGCCCAGGAATTATTTCAACTCACTTTCATTTCTTTTTCTTCTCAAGAACTTCAGATAACAATGATGAGAGCAAAAACAGGATCTGATGGATGCAAACTGAGAAACTACATCATCACTCATGGACTCATTAAATTCACCTTTCACTGCATTCTCACGACAGGCGCGACATTCATTTATGTCCCAATATTTCTCTAGGTCTAACTGATCTAGAGCACTACGACAAAAAGACAAGAATCGATTGAGCCAGGCTTTTGCGGCAGACAGGTTACTTTCGCCAGACTCCATTGAGTATGAGCTCCTATCGTACAGATTATATCACGTGATCGATCATCGTTTGAATAGGTGTGGTGTGGCCTTGACAAGGATTAATCAATTTCCTCTATACTTTATAGTATTATTTCTAACTATGTTAACAAAGTACAATACAAAACAAAATTTATGAGCTAACTGCTTGGGACTAATTTTCTTAATATGTATAGTTATGCAAGAACGAGAGCACTAGCAAGCAATTAAAAAATTATTATTATGTTTGAAATTATCATTATTTCAGCTAAACAAAAAAATTAGATCTACACAAATAAATTAAATGAAAAATTGCTACAAAAAGTCAATAACTATGCTATTTTTTGTTCATAATCATACTGAAACATAACAATAGTTTTCCATACTTCCACTGTCTGATCTACAGTAATTGACTTTGGAAATTTCTTCTGAAAATCCTCAGGAAGCAAATATTCCAATTCAGAATTTTCCAAATGAAGGTATAAAGTGTCACTCAAACTATAACACCAAAGAGCTATAAATTAATAAATAAACTAACTTACGACCAAGTTATGCCAATGTAATTTGATTCATAATGACGAACGGTCGTTTCAATAAACTCGTATAAGAGATTAAGAAAAGGAGGAACATCTATTCCTTTCAAATATGACTTCAAATTTTCCACTTGCTCTTTTGAAAGATTTTTCATCAATTCTTCACCAAAGGAATCAAAAGCTTCCTATAATGAATTAATAAAATATCACACTTGCAGTTCATTAAACTAAAGGCCTTTAGTTTGGGAACTTTGTTTATTGCCAAAAAATAAACTTTAGAGTAATGCTACCCAAAACGACTATTAATTTTTTTCAATCTTAATGGATTTTTAATATGCACTACTGAAGTAATAAATTTACTTGATTTCGAATTGTAAGACATTTTGCCATTTGGACAGAGAGTGTTTCCCATAGTGACAATATGTGGCCAAGAGTACAGTATTCCATTGCCTAGAATAAAATAAAGATAAAACCTTATTAAAATAATTATTAATAGCTTTGGTTCATTAAGGAGCAGAACGGGTCTCACAAATATGCATAAAAATGCATAAATCACTGTAAAAGCTAATTTAGAATTTTTTTATGCTTGGATATGAAGAATGTATAAACTTTATTTTAGTAAAGACATTTGGGTTCACAGTGTGTTTTATTTTTTGTTTTAGTTCATACCTTCTTGCTGGTGAATCTCTTTTCATCAATCCTTACTACTCTCTTAATGTACGTCTTCAATTCTGTCTTAGAATTGCTCTTACCAGAAGAAAGAAAACCAATCACAATCTCTACCACATCAAGACATTCTCTCAGATGCTTCATGCTGTGTAGCTCATGAACAATGTCTGTTTGTTGTTTTACAGTCAATTGTCTCTATAATAAAATCATTAAAATTAAGTAAAATGTAGCATGCATGCACATGTACCTGAGGTTGTACATTTTTCCTGATGTTAGCAAAAGCCTCAGCAGTATAAACATCTTTTCTGTATACTACTTGAGGAAATTCCAACTGTATGTATGGCTTCCCATGAATAAACCTATCAACAATGTGTTTCTCAAGTGCAGCGAAGTCATAGTTCACATCATGACCCTTTCCATGCTTCAGTGAGTAGTGGCAGTGGGACAGAACAATTGATAGAATCTGATGCTCATAGTCCAATAGATGACATAACTGAATCTGACTGGCTGGGACTTTACACATTTTACTTTTACTGCAAATAGTCATAAAATATTAAAAATAAGACAATGACTTACTTTTTCTTCAGTTTAGTCTCTAATTGTGAGTGGCATTTTTCCAAAAAATCATTATGTATTCCAACTAGCAAGCCCACTAGTGCTACAGTACAGGCTCCATCACCAGTTAAGGTTGGTATCAGATAAGAGAGAGGAGTTTTTTCATCCCATGACAATGATTGTATAATATTAGGATCAACATGAACACGAGCTATAGGCATACGCATACAAGGGTAAAATCAATACATCAATTTTTGTACCATCTTTTAGTCTTTCTTTAACAAGATTCCAAGCTTTTATGACACAGTTCAGGCGGTCTTGAAACTGATTCCTCTTGTTTTCACCTTGAGTTCCTGAGAAAATGAGAAAGCAATGAAAATAATTCTACTCAGAAATAAAAATTTAATTTTAGATGCCTGTAAACATTGGCCAACTCTTTGAGCAGCTTTAAAATTCAATAAAAATTATTTTGATTAATTCAGTGTATAACTGCTATTTTTAATGAAAAAGCTAGTACAGGGTACATGTAGTCTGTCAAATTTGTTAAAATTAATTTCTAAATTACTATGTACACAACATAGTACATGTATATTTTTTTCCGTATAACTCTAAAAATGGCTAAAATCAGACATTTTGAAAAATGGCTGATTTTTTAAAAATGGTCATAACTTGAAAAAATTAAGTCGGAATCAACTTAAACTTTCTACACAACATAAGGACATCGATATGTATCAAAAAATGTAACAAAAATTGGGGGTGATTTTTTAGCCATTTTTCGGAAAATACCATGTGCTATAGTACAGGGAATCTTTTGAAAAATGGCTGACTTTTTAAAATGGTCATAACTTGAAAAAAATTAAGTCGGAATCAACTTAAACTTTCTACACAACATAAGGACATCAATATGTATTGGAAAATGTAATAAAAATTGGGGGTAATTTTTAGCTATTTTTTGGAAAATACCATGTGCTATAGTACAGGGAATCTTTTGAAAAATAGCTAATTTTTTAAAATGGTCATAACTTGAAAAAATTAAGTCGAAATCAACTTAAACTTTCTACACAACATAAGGACATCAACATGTATCGGAAATTGTAATAAAAATTTGGGGTAATTTTTTAGCCATTTTTCGGAAAATACCATGTGCTATAGTACAGGGAATCTTTTGAAAAATGGCTGATTTTTTTAAATGGTCATAACTTGAAAAAATTAAGTTGGAATCAACTTAAACTTTCTACACAACATGAAAACATCAACATGTATCGGAAAATGTAATAAAAATTGGAGGTAATTTTTAGCCATTTTTTGGAAAATACCATGGGCTATAGTACAGGGTATTTATCAGATTTAGGCAAATTTCCTAAAATAGTCATAACTTAAAAATTGTAAGTCAGAATTAGCTCAAACTTTCTACATAGCATAAGGACAATAGGACATCAATATGTATCAGAAAATGTAATAAAAATTTGAGTGATTTCAGAGCCTGTTTTTGGAAACAACCATGGGCTATAAAAATTTTTTAAATGGCCATAACTTGAAAAATTGAAGTTAGAATTGACTCAAACTTTCTACACAGCATAAGAATATCAATATGTATTGGAAAATGTGCTAAAAATTGAGGGTGACTTTTTAGCCATTTTTTGGGAAAAACCATGGGCTATAATATAGCCTTGGACATTTTTCAAAAATTGGCCTGTTTTAACAAATGGCAGGTACATGTACTTTGGCTCAATTTTTGAGCAATTTTTAAAATCCTAAAAAAATCCAAACTTGATCAGAATTAGTTCAGTCTTTCTACACAACATAACTACATGTATGTGCATTGAAAAAAATTTTTAAATGGAAGATTTTTGCATCTTAGATTTTCATAATTATTTTAGTTAAAATCCCTGTAGTACACATAGTACAAAAAGACTTTGGACCAATTTTTGAGCAGCTTTTAAAATAAATAAAAATTTAATTTTGATGTGAATAAGTCAAGTTGATACACAACATAAGGACATGTATGTGCATCAGAAAAAAATTGTAAAAGAGAAAAATTCTCTCATTGCGATTTTAGTCAAAATATCTTGCACTATTTTTACCATAGTACAGGGCTTGGGTCCAATTTCTTAAGCAATTTTACAATCCACTGACAACAAGCTGCATGAGGACTATGCCAAAATTTTGTGATAAACTTTGGCCATTGCACATCAAACAACAGAAATTGAAATGTACCTCGTGGCTGCCTAAAGCCTTTAAGGTAGTCTCTGATTGTCCATTGTGTTGCTTCCTTCTTGTCCAACTTTTTATGACTCATTTTATACATTTGCTGCTGCAATTTAATGATAGATGGAAGGTATTGTGTAGCTCTTAGAAACTGATCCTAAAAAATATTTAAATGTTACCATAACTTTCAATGCCTTACCTGTATCAAAAACTCATATAATATTGGATAAGTTTCTTTTTCTGCTTGTAGTACTTGCAGCACATTTTTGAGTGTAATGCGTGAATGATAACTCCACAAATGAGGCACAATAACATTAGGTGGTATCTGTACTCTCTCATGAATCACATAAAACAATCGATCACGTTCTTAATTAAAAATAACAACAATTGCACCAAATCATTAGTTACCTTCTTTTTTGTGATTTAAGATTAAATCAGTTGCTTTATGAAGGTTGGCATCTAAATTCTGAAACAAAATATAAATACATACATAATACAAAACAAAACTTACTGTCAGTACAGGTTTAATATATAAGTCATGAAATGACTTTTCCCATTCACGTCTGTGTTCCTTTGAACTAAGGTTTGTTGCATTTCCTATAGTAAAAGGATAGAAATAAAATAAGCAATTACAATACTGAGCTTACCTCCTCTAGGATTCAAAGTGGCAATGTTCTTTAACAGTATATGCAATATAAGACAAGCATCATCTTCACTTTTGCCTAGTGAGGCACTTAACATTTTAATATCATAAGATAGATGCTGCCAAAAAAACAATGACACATTATTTGGGGCAACTGGTGTCTTGATCAAATCCAATAAATTATTCATTGAGTGCTATACAGTTAAGGAACTATCATAAAATAAATGATACACAAAAATATACCTCATTAGTACATGAAGTCCAAAGTAATGAAGAGTGCATTAGTGCTCTAATAATAGCACAGGCTGGAACAGATAATGACCTTTCAGTTGATGGCATGCTTTCTCTTTGATGTGGTTGGCCAAGAGCATAACCAGTTTCAGTTATATCAGTCCTTACAATGCAGTTAACAATACAATAGGAACAAAATGTTTTATACAAATTACTTACGTCCTAGCAATCCTATTTGTTGATTCAAGTGTATGATTTTGACCACCAATACGTGAGTGACAAATTGGACAAGCATATTGTTGAAGTGGTTTACCACACTGTTACGGACAAAAATAATTACAGTGATGATTAAAGCTAAGGTTTTACCTCAGATACAAAATAAGGATGTCCTCTTGGACATTCTAAAAATTAATTAACATAAAATACAATAAAAATTATGAACTTAATTATTTATACCATAAAATTTTCCACCACCAACAGCATTCCTAACATCAGGAAGAGAATCGTCTGGCATTGTAGGTAAAAAACAATCCTAATAAGCATTGTTGTACACACACTGGTACATAATAATACAATTATTTTACTTTTAAATCTCCTGGACGACTTATCATTTGAATGAATGGTGTAAGTAATTTATTTGATGTACATTGTACAGCTATGGCTACATGAGTAACAAGATCAGTCAGTAATCTATTCTGTGGGCTCATTCCTGGTCTAAGAGTCATGACCTCCAGTCTACCATAATAAGTATCCTCTATGAGATGCTGAGCTATCCACAAAAGCTGTGAGCAATCATAAAATAGAACTAATGGCATGTTACATGTAATATGCACTCACTTCTCTTTTAAGTCCTTCACATTGTTTAATAGTAGCTAATACTTCTTTTTTAATGTTGTCCTATAGCATCAAATGATTATTTTGTAAAAAAAATTAGTTTAAAATCTCACTGAAATTATTTTAGAGTCAGCAGTAAACACAGCACTACCAGTAATAACTTGATAAGTTCCTACCAGTAATGGAACCACATCTGCAGTAGCAAGACTCTGTACATTAAAACCTTCACATTAAGAATAAGATGAAGTTATGTTACTTGGATAGTTGCTTGTAGTTGTGTCAAGTCCTTTCCATACACTGCATCGGTCAGGATTGTTTGAAATTTGTCATAACCATCATAAATTACAAAAGGATCATTGACTTGATGAGTATCTTCCTATAATGCTTTCATGTATGATACAACAGAGGTATACTTACATCATCTGATTGGCGTAGGCTTCGGGGTACTACCCACTGCATAGTAGCATCAGAAGTAAGGTTAGTGAGGAAAGCAACTCCATATTGCTTTCCTATTTGTTTGAGGAGGAACACACCAGGTCCAGTGTCATCCTCATTCAAATGATCATCACTGCAACATTCCTTAGCTTTGTTTAAGAGGAGCTGAGAATGGTGAGTGTATGTTATTTCTTCAGTCTCTTTGTTGCTGTACTGGTAATGAATAAGTTCAGCTATGACAGACAGTGAGAATCGCAACATTGAAACTCCTTCCAAATATTCCAAACTAATTTCTTCTCCCGGATAAGGGGTCTCACTACCACTGATTAATTCCTTTCCCTGCTCAATTGTAGAAAGAGCCTTTTCTACTTTCATTTGAAGAGAAAACTGACCATGCTGCTTGTAAATGGCATCCTAAAAACTAGAGTATAAAAGGCAATCTAATTAAATTATAAGCATACCTCTAAGCACTGGATACATAATAAACACAAATTATGATCATTTTGAATCAGGTGCTGAGCTTTCTCAAAGTAAGAACTTAAATGTTGTTTCACCTCCTCCATACTTAAAGTATAATGCTAATATTAAAATAATTATAAGTCCCTTTACTTGTGTTCCAGTAGTAGCTGTAGTAAAAAGGATCGTATGACAGGAACTTTATCAGCTTTTTCCTCCTCAGAGTAAGTGAACTCTTTAGTCTTATTCTGTTCTGTAATAACAATATTTAACAGCTCACTAATAAGATCAGGCTCAGGTGGAGTGGCTTGACCAAAACATAGAGAAGAAACAACTTCCATGAAATAGGACTTGCAACACTCTCGGAGCATTTCTTTCATTTTGTCACTAAAAATAAATGTATTGAACAAATAAAGTTTAAAATTATAGTACTAACGTAAATTTTAGCTTTGATTTAGCTTCTCTGTCCACAGTTTGTAAAACTTTCTTGACAATTAAAATGGCATCTAATTTCACAAACTCACATTTCAGACGCTGAAAAAAGAACAGGAAATTTTTATGTAAAAAATAATTGGTGGAATAAATTTCAAGTTGTTGTTTTGTGTTTCCATCATTATTATAATATTGAAAAAAATATTTTGTGTTTTAAATTATTAATTGCATTAAAGTTTCTTTATTTTCAAAGTCTGATTTAATGTACTCACTACATTGATTCTGTTAGCATACTGCACAAAAGTGATAAACTTTTGATCATTCTCATCTTGTGAACATTTCAAAGCTACATGCTCAATGAAAAGCTGGACAGCTCGTACACATTGCCATGTTATCCTAAAAATTATTGAAAACTAAAATGTTTGGAGTGATTTATATACCTGATTTCTTGAGTAAATTCATTATTTGGTGCAAGAGTTAATATAGAATCAATTGAATTTTGACACAATTGCAATTTGACTAGTCTTTGACGAATAAATCCTCTCTTTTCAGGTGTAAGGGGTAAGGCAAGGTTATCAGGACTAATAGAAACTTTAACTGCATACAATGGTAGCTTAAAGTATTGGCAGTCACAAAAATCTAATAAAAATAAATAGTGCATTATTAGTAACATAATATTAACTGAAGAATGACCTTCTCGAGCTAGCTGAAGTAATATTCCTGGACTGTGTGCTGTCAGTTGTCCAAACCACATAATATCCTTTTGATACTCATTGTATACAACATGAACTGCTGCAAGAAAGGACAGAAGAGACTTGTGTGGAGAGAGATCAGGACCATTAATTAGAGCAATAAGAGAATTTTTTAATATCTACATTAAAAAATAAAATGTACTCTGAGAAAAACTGCAATAGTACTGTACCTCATATTCATCAGAAGCTTTATGATGAGGTGCATTATGCACACTCCTCAGGACATCATTAAGATATAAAAGGCACAACTCTGACCAATGCTTTTGTGGTACTCTCATTAATACATTAGCAACTGGATCATCATGTAACATGTCACACAGTCTAACATGCACATTTTGACGATGATCATCTAATGGCAAATAATGATGTTATTTATTATAACATACTACTTTAATATTTACCCGAAGAACTTCTTACAGTTTCCCATTTAGATTCAATGGCTTCCTTAATCAACCAGAAAAAAGGAAACTCACAATCAAATTCTGATTCAGCTGCTAATGTTTGTCCCATACCAGGCACTGCAACTTGATAAGAAATACCCAACCCTAAGGTATAGTTCTGAAAACTGAAACGTATCACTTCTTCGTTACTAAAGATAGCATGCCATAGAGTTTTTAAATACTCACTAAACAAAATTATAGGAATATATATTATATATCATTGTATATGCATTGATTACTTTGAATGCTCTAATAGGTTAAGGTTTGAGTATTGATCAACAAATAATAGAACAGCTGCAAATATAGGAGTGATGACTTCATCTAGTTTTCTTGACAAGACATTCTGGAAAGTTCCTCCACTCTGTAACTTCTTACCACTCAAAGCTTCATTCAGTACCCATTCACTGCATATGTCTGGTCGTTTTTCCTCCCTTTCTTGCAACAAACTTCTTAGATGCTTCACAAGTGCACCATAAAATGTTTTGGTATCTATAAATGATTTTAAAAATAGTATACTGTACAATGAAAAATTTTCAAGCACTGTAAAATTTTGTAAATTTGTCCATATGTGATGTGTGTATATATAGCATCAAATTTTTTAGTCAAAATATTGTTAATTTGGTTTTTCCATACTTACAATCTAATAGCATGAGGATCATAGCGGAATGACAAAAATTGGCACTAACATAAAATATTTTGCATATTTAATTTTATATTGTATTAGATTAATTTTTAAGGATTTTATTTTCATTAATTTTCAAAACAAATGCAAAATCTATAAAAATTTTTCACTGCATGCATGGTACCTAAAGGAAATGAAGGATTCGGTGGAATGTGCTTCAGTAATATTTTGACTCTCATAGCTGCTGCTGTTTGCTTCCTAGAATCTCCAGTTTCAATCAATGAAGCTACTGCTGCTTGAATGCAGTTATACAATCGACTGCATTGAGAGTGTTGCTTTTTACTAGCAGGAACCTCAGCATCATCACTCTATTAAAAAGAAAACAAATTTTATAATAACTACATGAAAGTGTATTTAACAGTAATACCATTTTGTGAAATTTCACAGCAATGCTCCAATTATAATATAATACAAACAATTACATGTACCTCAATTTTTAAAAAATTACCTTTTCGGATATAGAATTTTGCATGTCGTCAGCATGTACATCATCAGAAGACAACTCTTCTAAATCCTCTACTTTGAGGCCATCATCATATACAACTGCATTGCCAGACATATCTTCCTCTTCATTGTCTGACTGAGACCTTGCCAGTGATTGATTGTCTTCCATTACCTCTTCTTCTGATTCAATCAAATCAGAGTCTTCCTTCAATTCTATTTCCATTTCCTCATCAATCAAAAACTGTCCGTTATAAAACAGATGACTGATAGGAGCATTTTGAGCATCGTCAAGTGTAAGATCAGAGTCAAGAGGAGGCCTTATGTCATCAATGTGAGCTGAAATCCAAGACCCTCCTTGAAACCCAACGAAAGAGCTATTTGTAGCATCAATTTGACGAGGAAGATGTACAATAAAAAGAACGTGGGTAATCCCTTCTCCAGTTTTATGTCTCATCTTATTCTTCTCTCTCTCATCATCAATACGGTATCGAGCACATGCTAACAAATCACCATATAGGTGTCCAGAGTCACACTGAATAATTAATAGGGATTCCTCTTTATCAGAAAATGAAGGACTAAAATTAATTATTAAAATAAAATAATAGACATATTGATAACTGATACAACAAACCTAATTTTGTGACTAAAATTCATCTCAGTATCAAACTCCTGCAGTAAATGGCATCCTCCATTCTTGATATCAACACTTCTGTATAACTCATTTGCCTCATGTTTTGAAAGAAGGTGACTATGAGTTGTTACCTAAATAAATAGTAATTTGATGATAAATTAGCATATTGTACAGTACTTGTATCAAAAGTCCAGACAAATTACGAGTTTTATGAAGATGATAATTAAGAAATTCAACAATAGAGCCATGATGCTGATCAAAATAATAGATTTGACTTAAGTATTTCTGCTCATCCTCCAGTGAAGTAGATTTCAATCGTATTAGAGCTTCTGGTGATGCCATCTGTAACAGCATCTTTTTACCACACTCTAATACAGCCTCCTGTAATTCATCTGAGACTTCATTTTCAATGTATCGACCTTCCTGTTGTATTTCATGAGTAGCTTGAAAAATAACTGAAGCTGGGGTATCACTTTGATAACCTATAAAAGCATCTTGTTTTGTAAACCTATAAAGTATAACAGTATATACAGTAAAGATAGTTACTAAGCATATTACTTGCTATCTGATGTACTGATTTCACCAAATTTGTCTATCCATTCAATGAGATTTTTAAGAACTTCCTTTTGCCATTCCAAAAGAACTGTCTCTGACAATACAAAGTGCTTCTCAAGTCGGTTGATAAGTGGGGTAGGAAACTTTCTATAGACAGTAGCTTTCTCTGCTATCAAAATCAGCCTGCAATGATAGTGTACTACAATCAAAAATAGTACAGGTGAACTTACTTAAAGTTATGGTGTACACGGCATTTAACTCTGTGAGTTTGTAGCCCAAGGTCTACATATCTTTGGTCTCCATGATGAATATAATACTGGTTTAACAAGTCATACAAGCTCTCATAAAGATTTTCGAGATTAAGAAGAATGACAGTACGACCAGTTTCCATACATATCTTAATCTGATTGATATTACGACACACTTGAGTGTACTCTCTGTCTTTGGGAAAAGAGCTACCAAAAAGAACAAATGGTTTCATTTTGTGTTCCATGCTTCTTGCCTTCAGTGAATCATCAGTTACAAGACTCAAGGAGGCTTCAAGGCTATAGCCTTCAGCCCTATCATCTTCAATTCCAACTTCTCTCAATCCAACTTCTTCATGTAGATAATGCTTGATGACCTGAAGTGCAGCATAATTTTCAGTCAGAAACAGCAAGTAGCGATTTTCTCTATAAAGTCTCTCAGTAAAGAAATAATAATCTTACAGTTGTTCTTACCCATGCCAAGACACTTCCCTTGTCTGCAAGCTTTTTCTTATTAGACCTAGTGGGCTGTTATCAGGCACTAGAATATCCTTCAAGTTCTAATCAATAATTTTTTTAATAATTTTTAAATAACCATTTTTTATAATGCATGTATGTTAACTCACTTCGTTAGTGACACTTCTTAAATCAGGCTTGTGCTCTAAGTCCTTAAAATAGTGTTTAAAAATTCCATATGTATCAATTTCGTCAACATCTAGCCCACCAAAGTTTCGCTTTATTGCATGTTGAAGTTGAGGGTCAGTCAAGGGCCTATCACTCTTCTTGCACATCCAATAGAGCATTTTTATGAGGCTACAAGTACAGTACAAGTAGTTTAAATGGTGTGTTTAGCACAAGAATTTGGTCTTATGACAAAAAGTGCATGGTTCTGGACCATTTTTTTACTGATACAATATTTTGAACCCCCCTTGTGTAAATTTGGCTGCATTAGCTAAAACCCTAAATCGGACCCCCAAACAATTCTAAAATCCTAAATTTAACAATAATCTCAGCTAAACCAGAACCAGGACCACCTACTATACATGACAGGCCCAAAAATAATTAGTATATACCTGTAAAAGTCTCTAAGACCAAAAAATGGTTTTTGCCTTTGGTCTTGTTCTTCACATATGTCCTTATAAGCAGAAGCCAATGGATGAAAGTACATACTCAGTTTTTCTTTGATAGGATCATTTGTCTCATTAGAGCATATTCCCCTACCAATACAATGATTTATCATGATGAAAGGATAATTAATACTTTGCAGAAAGAACAAGCTCATCTACATCAGGGTCACCTCTGGTAACCATAACACCTCTGTTCATTTTAGCAGGATCAAGAGCCCAGTTAGATATTCCAATAAAAGCCACACGCTTATTACGATCAATGATCTACAAAGTTCAGAACAATAAAAATTCGTAAAACAATTTTAATAGCTACTTGTTCTTTTCCATCAGCTCCCTCAGTTCCATCCTCCAAAAGTGGATGAAGAGCTTTTAATGGAAGATTGGGAGAGTCTTCAGCTAATCCAACCTCATCTAAAACTACAACTGACACATAATTTTTGACATCTTCCTTCTTTTGAAATCCTTTAGCAGTGTTGAATATTTCAATAACACTCTCTGGAGTCGACAATTGACTGCACTGGTATGAAAACATGTGGACCTAAAATTATCTTATGATGATATTAAATTTCATAATACTAAAAAACCTCTTTAAATCCTCTAATGAACTCATTATCTGAAAGCCTTCCAATCATTGAATCAGCAACAATAGATTTTGCTAGTGATTTAGAGCTGCCTGGCTTGCCAACAAGAAACAAAGGTATCCGTAATTCAATACATATGGCCATCATAAATACATTCTCTCTTAGAGCAGCATTTCTAGCAATATTGGGACCAAGCTTCATATTATCTAACAAAATGTCTTGACACCTGTTCCCATTACAAAAATAATTAATCATTAAATATAACAATTAATTTTTACCATCTAATTTCGTTACAAAATTGTTCTCTTCCGGTAACTGTCAAAGGAGGTTTGAACTCTTGTACCACATTAGTTTCATATTCAACTCTGTCCTGTAGTCTGGCATGATAGCACACACTAATTGCTAGTATTAGTGAGCGTGCTATATCACACTGCACAATATCTTCTTCCTATATTGAGTTATTAGTGATAAATAAAATATACACATGTATACTAACCTCTTCTTCAGCTTTCTTAGAAACTTTTTCTCTGAAGTGATCTTTTTGTCTACAAAAATGTCTAAATACCAGCATTGCACGCTCTACATCTCTTAAACTAACAAAGCTACACTCATCCTATAAAAGTAGCCAATTAGTATAATTTTGCAGCAGTTATAATGATTTACGTTTCTTTCTCTCATGTATTTTTGTGACCAAGCTAATACATGAGCTACTGATTGAATAACATTAGTTTGTCCCTTAACTTCATCAATATCACTGCATCTGTCATTCACTATTTGAAAGGTATAATCTTTCTCAGTGTCATCATTCAGCTGTCCAAAGTCATACACTAGTGGTCTCATACTTGGAGGCAAATCTAATACTCTATATACCAACTGACGAAGAGGGGTTTTACCTACACATAAAACACAATGACAATATACAGTAGCAAAACTTAATGCAGATACATGTAGATCAAAGAGACACACTGTACAGAGATATTTACATAAACACACACACACAAAGACACAACACAGACACAAGTAGACAAAGCCGGTCACAAACACAACATTCATAAGCCAATAACATAGCATTAAAAAAATTTTTCCTGATACATATACATGTTGTGTAGAAATTTTGAGCTGATTACAATCAAAAATGAATTTTAAAAAAATTTAAAGTTACTCCAAAATTGAGTAAAAGTTCCTGTACACGGTATTGGGTCAAATTTTGTCAAAATTGAAAAGTTTTCATTGTTATAATTTTTTCTGATATGTATACATGAACATGTTTCTATGTTGTATTAAAGTTCTGAGCTGATTCTGCTCAATTTTAGATTTTATAAAAATCTTTAAAAGTTGTACCATATACAAGGCTTGTTAGCTCATGAAGCATGCATTTTAGCTTACTTAGCATGCTTTGTGGGAAACCCAGCCATAACAAATATTAATTATACACAATACATCACATAGAAGTGATTATAAAGGACTAACCCAATTTTTGTTGAGTTTCTGTTGCTTTTACAAAAAATCCCAAACCAGCAGACTCCAGTTTGTTGATCATATCAATTGTATGCCTGTTCAGAACACAATAATCATAATGCAATTATATAATAAACTAACTTTCTATAAGGATTACAAGCGGCAATAAATTTTACATCCTCTTTAATAGACCTTCCATTAATACGGCGATCACACATAACTTCCTTTATCAGTCCAATAGCATCACTTGTATTTGCTTCATCAAAGAATAACACAGTGTCAACTTCATGCTTTTCTCTGTTAATAGATGCAAGTTCTTCTGCCTTTTCTACCATCTTAATCACTTCATTTTCAGTAGTACCTCCATGAATCTTTTAACAAAACAACTTTAATATTGTAAGTAATAGACTATACCTTCATAATAAGCATATTCTGTACTTCACTCCCACTATTTTTGCAACACTGAGCAGCAATATTACACATGTACCTGATAAGCCTCGTTTTCCCACAGCCTGTTTCACCCATTATAATAACAGGTATATTACACCTAATAAAAGTAAAATGGAAACATAATGCCTTTCATTTCTTTTACTAAAAATTATTACCTGAATCTCATGTGTATAGCCATTATCTTGATAACATTATCAATAGTAAGTACATAAGAGGAATCAGGGTCATAGCTCCATTCCAGCCCCATTACCATACCAATCTTATTTATCATTGTGTTTTTGTTCCAAGACCGGTAGTTTTCTAATAGATCAACTTGATTGTGTCTCAGGCCATTGTGCAGTTGGGGTGTCATAGCTCTGCGCTCTATCACCACATTGCCCTTGTTAGGATCTTGAATGTCACCATTACGACTAACATTAAAACCAACAAAAGTAATGCTAGTACCATCTTTATTAAAGAATAAGTATGGATGATAACTATAAGAAAGAATATATAATGTGTAAAATGTATAATCTTTACCTCTGCTCCCATCGTTTTCTCCTATCAATTTCATAAACTTGCAGTTGCTCATCATTATTTAACACCTCTTTATTTTCCAAAGCAACCTCTCCCTTAAGAGATGAAGTAGCAAAATCCTACAATAGTCATCACAAAATTAAATAATAAACTAAAGGTTGTTATTATCAAATTACTTTTGACATTCTAATCATAAACTTGACAACAAAAGTTTTTAGACCAGACATTACATCTCCTACATAATGCTCATTGCAGAAAACTGAATTTTCACAGGCCTTTAACTGTATATTTAAAAATTCAACAAAATGTTTTAATTCAGACCAAGAAGGATCTTTCACACCACAATATCTGTTGGAACAGAAAATAAAATAAATTTTATTTTATACTTACTGTAAATATAACTGTAGACATTCAGCTGGTTTTTCAGTGACAGACCCTGGTTTATGAACATAAGTAAAGGTATCAAGTGGAGCATTAGTTGAGTGTCTTTTAAGATACTGATAGACACGTTGAAATTGTTCACTCCTAAATTCTATATCATCAACAGTTCTAATATTAGTATCTATTATTATAAAGATTATAAAATAAACAAATATATAAACTACACAATAACCTTCTTTTGTGGTTCTTAAATAATTAAGAACATTATTAGGTGAGTGACATTCTACTTTTGGTAAGAGATTTAAAAGAGTGATTGAACTTTTAGCAAAATCTTCTTCCTCCTATATGAGAAGTTAATGTAAGATAATAAATAATTCAAAGTAAAAATCACTTTCAATATTGTAACTTCAACAGCATACAGATGAGTTTCATGGCACCTCCATATTTTACCCTGACTGTCTGAAGCTGCTTGAAGAATCAACAATGAGAACAACACAGAATCAACCTGTCTTAAAACCTATTACAAAAATCAACAACACTCATTACTTTATGAGTAGAAATATTACATACATTTGGTGAGATATCGAAATGAAATATGCAAGCTTGGTTTGTATCTTGCTTGTCATTAAATGGTTCTTTTAGTGACTTTAGTATATCATCAAATGTGACTTTTGGTCCATGAAATGGTATCACAACATCATTTATATCATGAGTAGACTTTCTTTTTTGTTTCAAATCTTCTTTCATTCTTTGTATGTACAATGACTTTCCCATTCCTGCCCTAGTAGAGCTGACTACTCTCACACGTGAGCTAAAATATTACAAAGTTTATGGTTAAAGCAAAATTAATTGCTTACTTTTCAGGATCAACAACAGATGCTAAGATATTAGTGCTAGAGGATTTATTTGTGAAGTGATTACTCAAATATAGATGAAAATCAGCATCCTTGGAAATTAGTGAGAAAGGCCTTTTATGTAGCTGAAGTTTTGCAACAATGTGAGACTTATCCTGATCCTCATTACTGCAGACTATTACAAGCTTATATTCTAAAAAATACCTAATAGTTTCATTGTATGATAATATGTACTTATTTACCAGTGTTTCCTTGAGAAAAGTCATGCAATGATTTAATGGCACTATCACAAACTTGGTATGACAGTAATTCAGCATGAACTAAACAAAATAATCTGAAATGATTAGGATCTCCCATTGCTCTTTTCCACAACAGATTGACTTCTTCAGCTGTTGTATACTCGTTACATATAAGAACCTCTTCATAAGTTGGCAATGGAAGATCCTTATTTTCCATATATAGAGACAGTACAGTCTTAAGAACATTATCTATCAAAGCATAAAACGTAAGATAATTATTGCAAATCATGTACATTAATTTAAACAAACCAGGAGGAACTATAATCAAATTTGGCTCTCCCTTTTTCAGAACTTCACCAAAATTTCGTTCAAAAGTAACAGAAGCTATCAAAAATTATAAAAGTTACATTTAATTGAAACAATCATATACTTACCAGCATATTTGCAGTTCAGTCTTTCCAGTACTTTAGCAAGTTTTTCAAGCGTCAAAAAACTTTTGATAGAAGGATCACAAACTATTTCAATATCACTAAAATGCATGATAGTTAATATAATTAAATTAAAATTTAGTCCATGCTTACCATGCATATGATCCAGTACTTTGCTGTCTTTCTAAAGATGATAAAACAGTTTCTGGAAATAATTCATGATCATCCACATCAGTACATAAATTATCAATGTACTCCATTGCCTTATCTATGTTATCTGGATATTTTTCCACTGCTTCAAGTGCTTGCTCAGGTGAGTATCCAGACAGTATCATGTCTTTTACCATTGGATGTTCTCTGTCAACAGGAACCATCTCTCGTACTCTCACAAGAATTTTTCTTTCAACAACTTGTGATTTTGTTGAATGGTAATCACCTGGAGTCAACAACAAATTTTCAATATCATCATTATTTTCAGTTGGACATTCAACTACATCACCAATCTCTTCTTCATCAAATACATAATCTTCTTCATGCTCAATACACCATCCCTCTACCGCTTCCTCAATATCTGGTTTAGCTACACGCTCAAATGCAAGAAGAATAAGTTTTTCTGAAAAACCAAATGACTGAACTAAGTTATCTAATATTACACTCTGTTTTTGAGTTAAATCACTGGATGTCAATTGAGGGTAATAGGGAACAGAAGAGGAATGAAGTTTCGATGCAATGATATCAGCCTCTCTGCTTTCATTAGGTGCAGTGTCTGGTAAATAGCTTTCATCAATAGATGGATCTAATTTCAAGCTATCTTCATTTTCCTCATCCCAATTGTCAAATATTTCCCTTATATAAGTTACAACTTTGTGAGGGTCCTGATGAGAAATATCTTTTGAAAGAGACTGCAACAATGCCAAAACATCAGGTTTGAGGTCGCCACAATAATTATGATCAGTAAAATGAGAAAGCTCCTTTCGTAAGAGTAAAAGTTGCTGTGTGGTATAATAATTTAAACAATAAAATTGGTTACGAGCTTCAGCTACTTCTCCTTGCCATTCTTCTAAATCAATTGTCATGTTGTTAAGGATATCAGTCAAAAGATCAACTAAATCCCGATCATGGCCACAAGGAAGTGTACAAGGAAACCTTAGGACCCATTCCATATACTTGCTGTGACCATGCTGGAGTAATTGTATCAGTACATCTGTTATATGACAAACTGTATTGAAAACCTATGGTACAGTTGATTAAAAACAATTACAATGTGAATGAGCATTAAATAATAGAAATTTTTCAATGAATGCAGGCATAACATCAATAATAAACAAACCTTTAAAAAATAGTCTACATTTGCCCTTTCTTTAGACTCCCTGCCTGTTATCAAAACAAGTTTACTCTCTAGATCTCGTAGCTCATCTAATGAATACTTCAGTTGTGCTAATGGCTTGTCACGCTGTTCTAAGTGCATTTTAATCAATTCTGAAGGCTTCAGTTGAGCTCCTTTAGCATGAGAACCAACAGTATAAATACCGTACTTTGTTATATTGTTCATTTGACCAAATGATGAGTTTTCTACTGAGCCTTGCATCTCTTTTACTAATTTGTACCACTCAATCTGCTCACTGCAATCTCTCTAATAATAAAAGTGCTAGCACCTAATCTATCAATATTATACTTACCAATTTCGTAGGTAATGCTGCATCACGTTTCAATGTATCCCATAACGAAGTACAACACCGTACCAGTTCTATGCAACCAGTACTCTTTGGCAAGGAATAAATAAGTTTTGCAAATCCACTGCCTACAGTACGTAGATTTGAGAGTCTATCACGTGTGTAATCATCTTCTCCTGCTGATGCAGTAGCAAGTGCAATAGTAACAAAGTGCTGTAAGTCCTGTACATCTATCAAACAAAAGTAAAGTATATAGATAGTATAGATAGATTATAGGAAGTACCTGATGTCACAGATTTAATCCATTCAATTATGCCATGACAATCAATAAACATTTTCAAACACTCAAGTTTTTTGGGGTTAGAACTGATGTCTTGGAGGAATTCTACTGTACTCACTAAATCGTTATTAATACACTGGAGGGTCTGGTCTTTAACATCCTTCATAAACTATAGTTATGTATACAAAAATACTTATAGATCTATATTTAGTAATAGTTCTTACTTTAGCTGCTAATTTTTCTGCTATATTGAAATCCCCAGTTAAAGCAAGAACATTCTTTAATTCTAAGAATATTTTAGCAGCAGTAGCAGTTTGATGAAGAGAATGATAGAGCAACATTTTTTTAACACAGCTATCAATCCATGTGATGTCACTTTTTTTATCCATACACATACTCACTCCTTCCTCCAACAATAAAAGTTCAGTATTTATTTTTTCATGGTTACAAGAATATTCTTGAAGTAGCTGTTCAACACTCACAAGTGATATTGTCAGCGATTTTAAATCTTGAAGAAATTGGCGAAGTTTTATAAAAACAGGATTCCAAATAAGATTAACTACATCGCTGCACTGAAGTATTTTCCCTTTGTATTGGTTTACTTGAGAATACCACAATTTTTGAAATGTATTAGTGTGATAAATCTTGGTAAGTAGAGTAAACTGGAACAGGATAGGAAACACTGGAGCAGCAAATGCAAAATAATGACAAACTATTTTATTGTCTATAGTTTCGCATAATGAGGAAATAGGTCTCTCTGAGACATCAGCTACAATTAATGTACCATCTGCTAGTTCTAAAAATTATTAATTACATAAAAACAATTTTTGAACTAACCAGGAATTATGAGTTCAGATCCATTTAAATACTCAAAAAGTGTAAAAATTTGCTTTTGAGTCTGCTGAAATGTCTTATATTCCTTCAAACGTACTTCTAGTGTGGAAATGACATCAGTAAAGGAAATGTTTTTGAAAGGTCTCAACTTCTCAGCATCTAAACGAGACCCAATAGCTTCACACAACTTTTGAACTTCTTTTCTTTTTGTATCAAGCTCACAAAGAAGTACGTAAGTTATAGACCCTTCTAAAACAGCCATACAGACACTATTAAATATTGTAATGGCCTCATAACAAATTTCCTGATCTTTATCAGATAGACCTTCTTTATGAAATGCAAGCTGGGCAACTAAGTAATAGCAATGCAAACATAATTTTGACCAATCTTTAGAAACTAACCATATATTCTAATGAATCCAGGCCAAATATCCCATTCTAAAATATCATAAATTGAGAGCTTATCTTTATTTCTATATTTCTTTTTTAAGATATCTTCCATTATTTTTGTCATGTGTTTAGAATCTTGCAATTTTTTAAGACTGTCTGTATATGATTGTCCATCCTTTTAAAAAATAGTAAAATTTATATACAATATTTAATGTTTAGATCTAGATAAACTAACTGAAAAAATAAGGTCATCCAAAGACTGACATAAATTATCCACAATAGTCTGCAACAAAAGAGGATGAACTTGATTATTTTCAGCAAACTGCAAAATATCTGCCTTTAAATGGGAAGGAACCTAAGTATTCATTAATAACAAAATAAAGTGGGATAAATTCTACTTTTGAAAGCCTTTTATCAACAATGGAACAAAGTGAATACTGCCAACTTTGAGATACGTTTTCTGGACAAGCAATTAAAAAAATGTGTTGCCAAACCTGTGAATTCAAATAATATAGTATATTAATTGTATTGCTTTAATTCTTACTTCAAACTCATCACTTTGTTTCAATAAATATTTACCAGAAGGCCGAGTGACATCGTTTCCAAACATATCTCCACCAATGATACCTGTTACCCAATTGTTTACAGTTTCATTAGTGAATCCAAGCCCTTCATCTAATATATTTGGATTTTTAGAGCACATTAAGGCCATTGACAGTGCCTTTAAATAAAGCGCCATAACAGATGCAAATATCACAGGAAAAGGCACAGGTTTAAGAAATTCTGTTATGGTGCCTTTCATAAGATATTGTACAGCATAGTTAAGCTGTTGTACACCTTCGTGCCTAAACAAATATAAATTCACAAATATTAACACATATGATACTTGTTATCATTAAAGGAATGGTCCACATGAGAATGTATTAGAGCCAAAAGTTTTACAATTGTTTCTGTGTTCTGGGAAAATTTAATATTAAAGAGGATGATGGTGATCAAATATTTTACTCTTACATTTGTAATAGAGGATGAATGCTGAAATCTGAATGCTAGATTTGACACAGAATAAAAAGGAGATACTGCTCTAAATAGTGCCTTGCATTGAGAAAGTGAACACGCTTGTATAAAAATAGGCAAGAGAAGAGGATCAATCAAAAAAAGCTTTTGAAGATCAGAGTGAAGTGTCTTCAGTTCCCTAAAATATAAAAGTCATAGCTATAAATGATACACTATAGCTAACTCTGACTGTAGTTTATCCATTGTTTTATACATGTAAGGCCTAATTTTTGAAAATGCATCATCGAGCAAATGCCATTGAATTTGCTCAGGGCTTTGATCAAGGCATTCAAATGGTTTGGTGTGGCCTTGAATAAAATGCATCAGTGAAACAAAATTAAACAGCAATATTAAATGACGATGGTTCACTCCAGTAGCTTTAAATCTCACAATGTATGATGTTGCTGCTTCTAAAAATAATAATATTGTCCTATTTATTATAACAATAATGTTCTATAATAAAAATTTGAATTTACTTTAAACTCCCAATCTTCAGCATTTCCAAAAAAGAGTGTAACTCTTGACATTCTCTCCTTTCAAATTGAAAATTAATAGTCAACAAACTAAATATATTTAGTGTTTCATCCTCTGAGATATCAGTAAAACCAATTTTTCGAAGACAGCAAATTATTACGGTTGCCACAATCATTCTTTTGTCACTGGAAATTCCTTCATTCTTATTCAAATCATGAGCAAGGGCCAGTAGTGTCTGTTTCAAATTCTAAAATAGAATTACAAATAAATTACCAAATAATATTTGGTACTTACATGCTTCAAATCATTACATTTCCATTCTCTTGTTACAGTACTTAAACTTGTTCTTTCGTTGTGCAATAAAGGTACATAAAGACAATCATAAACATTATCTATGTGACTTATTAATTCTTCCACATGTGTAACACACCCCAATTGGAGATTTTTGAAAACGTCAGCTAAATAAACTTGTAGGCAATAAGATCTTGTTTCAATCATAGTAGGCAGCTTGACATCTTTGATATCAGCTGTAGTTGTCTCAGGTTGTCCAAATAAAATATTTACTATAGATGAGGCCACTTTTCTAATCTTTTCTTGGTTCTCAAGAGAATGCAAAGAACGATAAATGACAGTGTCATATTGATGAAAATCTGTAAGGGGAGAAGAGGAAGTGTAATAATTAGTCAACACTAAATGAACTTGCTCAACATAACAATTCACTCTTTCTAATTTGTCGATATGGTAGAAATGTTTTAGTTTTCTACTTATTTTTACATGTACATCAAAACTTACAAAAAACCATTTTATGACTAGTTGCAAATAAAAAAACATTGCTACATAGCTCTAAACTTTCTATGCAAGATGTACCATAGAGAATATATGAAAAGCATGCAAGTGCTATGCTGCAGTCAAACAAAATTCTTCAAAACCACAGCAGCACATGCATTCATACTGATAAGACGTACAGTCAAGTATGGTTTTCAACCAGGTGACAAAGGGTAACACAAAAAGGTATTTCAATTCTTTTCATTTCATGCGATCTATGCAATTGTCAAAAAGAGGTTTGTTGTTTATATAAATGCCAGAACAAATTGCGACTGCTAAGAAAATTCAAGGCAATCCTCAATTCCATGCAGATTTTGGGAGACAATCTTAGTTGTTTTATCCCGTTTTCCCTGCAGATAAAGTGCTAAAAAGGGAGAAAAACATTCCTTTAGATTTTTCACCATACAATCACAAATCACAACTATAGACCTCTTTGGGTGAGAATGAATTACGTCAATAAATAATATACAACAAGGGGCATGACTTAGCCTCAGCTGACTCTGAAATAATTTTCGTGGACAGTAAAACAGTAATGATATTCATAGGCTACTATCAATCTTACCTGAGGAGGTCTACACAAGCGTAAGTAAAAACTAAAGAGTAACTACATCGCTTCTTATGTTGTGTACTGCTGTAACAATTATTATATTTATGTTATCATGACCATTTAACCATTACCATGTATTTAACTATTGATAATAACTAGTGATTTGTGTGGTTCTTTGATGATACTTTGATTTGGTCTGTTAAAACTTGTTACATTGGTGTCAGAAGTGGGATGGCAGTCGAATTACCACTACCAGAGCTGACGGATACTAATGGTGAAGAAGGATTTTTACATGCCTGGACCCGTTTGAGCTAATAGCTGCGG